CTACGTCAAGACTAGTAGCATTACTACGTCAAGACTGGTAACATTACTACATCAAGACTAGTAGCATTACTACGTCAAGACAAGTAGCATTACTTCGTCAAGAATTGTAGCATTACTAGGTCAAGACTAGTAGCATTACTTCGTCAAGAATTGTAGCATTACTAGGTCAAGACTAGCAGCATTACTACGTCAAGAATTTTAGCATTACTACGTCAAGACTAGTAAAAATACTATGTCAAGACTAGTATCATTACTACGCCAAGACTAGTAGCATTACTAGGTCAAGTCTAGTAACATTACTACGCCAAGACACATAACATAACCACTTCCAGATAACTATCATTCTTTCATTACAATAAATGGCAATTGCTACTTCAAAATATGCAACATAACCAAATTTTCATCATCTTCTTCTTAGAGTTCACGGGCTGTAAACTCCGGCGAAAATTATTGGCTGCTTGTTCACTTGTAAACTTTGGTACTGGCCGAAAACTTGAGTTTTGAATGCACATTCATTTAAAAGATCTGACATATTTGTATGCAAACTGTTGGTTCCTTGCTTCTTAGACAGATACACTACATCGCTTTTCGAAAGAACAGTGTCGCTTCGATGTGGTAAATGGGCATCCGAACCTCAACCCGTCCTAATGGGTCTGCCCCAGGGATCACCATTGTCGCCTGTGCTCTTCAATGTGTACACATCAGGAGTCACGAGTGCACAAAGCGTAGGTCTAGGCAGAACAATGTAGTATGCAGATGATATCCTTGTTTACCGTCGAGGTAAAAACAGACAGGAAATTACAACCACACTACAACAAGAACTAGACAGACTTAGTTAGTGGTGCCAGGAATCAAGAGCTCAGGTGAACCCGTCCAAAGCCTCCTTAACATGGTTCTTTCTGAATACCCACATCGTCAGTACACCAACGCCAGTCATACGCATATGTGGTGTGGACATCGAGAGAACGGACACCATGAAATACCTGGGCATGACATTTGACAGATGCTTGTCATACAAATGCCACGTAGACAACGTCATACTTAGATCCAGGAAAGGTCTGACAGAACTCAAGGTGCTAGCAGCAGCTGATATTGAACGACGCCTACTTTTCCTTCTCTATCAAGGGCTGGTATTAAGCGTCATTGACTACGGTCTTGGCCTCCTCACTGTCAGCAAAACCCGGCTAGAAAGACTGGACGGAGTACAAAATGAGGCCATGAGACTCATACTCGGCTGCTCAAAAGTCACCCCCTGCAACGCCATGCATTATCCTGGGTTATTCGACGATGACTAGCAGATACAAAGTGGCACAGGTCAAGGCTTACATAAGGGTATCGGCAGACGTTAACCACCCATTGCACAAAGCTATACACGACACAAAAGGAACGCGTCTGAAAAGAGGCCGCTCTTGGATGGCAAAGGCTGACTGACTGACTTTCTACCCCACCAGGACATCACACAAGCGATAAACACCCGATGACACAAAGTGCCACCACGTGGATGAGGATCGCCGTGGAGAGGTCCCAGAAACTGCGTTCAGACAATTGGCCATATTTATGGCCTGCCTATATTGCGGCCCCTGGCAAAAGCCAGAGTAGGGCTTCAAATAAAGAAAAAAAAAGGACAATAAGGCAAAGGCTGAGGATTTAATCCAGCAGGTATGTGGCCTAGACGTGATCAGTCACGGAAAAGAATGGACGAATACACCAGTAGACATGCATGGCATCTCTAAGGTTGTCATCACACTCCGAAAGTACTGCCGGGATCAAATTCCTGCGGCCGTAGACACAGAAGTAAGGGAACTCATAGATCAGCATTCAGACCCAGAAGATATCATCATCTACACAGGTGGATCCTCGAAGCGCGGATCAAGGTCAGCATGGGCATACACAGCGCAAAGAAGGAGGAAACAACACAGGAGGACAGCGGCGCTTAGCAGACAACCACGTCAAGCATGACCATGGAAATAGCCGCTGCTTCTAGAGCTTTAGCATGGGTATCCGAGCAAACCGTCACACAGGCAGTTATTGTATTAAACTCAAAGAATAGGCTTCAGAAGATAGCAACAGGCGGTATGCGCTCTGAATGGGTAGAAAGCATTCGAAAATCGAACTTAACCTTCGTAACCTCCGTAACCTAGAACTACACACCGGGTATGTAGGCGTAAAGGGAAATGAGCGAGGGGACCAACTGGCAAGCACTGTACTGAGGATTGTGGAAAAAAGCATGGACAGAGCAGATATCCTCAACGCTGAAAGGACTGGACTAGTGGATAATGAGGAATCCCTGACACTGGTACGATTGCGTGACATGGGAGGACTGAGCACGCATGGGAATGCCCAATGTGCAGTGACGTCGATTGTGATAACAGAAAATAACAAAACATCTTGTAGGGAGTCGGCAGTCCAAAACCCAAGTTCAAGGTGTCTCCTTCGTGCCAAAGAACTGCATGGCTGTTGGGTGAACAGTCGTTAACGAAGGCAGTCAGGTCGTTGTGGGGTGGACGCTTGCTGGTGGATGTAATGTCCTAAGTCCCTTCCCCAGCTAATAGTGAGGGTACTGCTGGGGTGACCGTTTATTAACCCTCACATAATGCTTCAGGTCAAAATGGACGCTAGGCACGGCCACTTTTTTTAGCCGTGGCAAATTTTTTGTGTGCTTCTGCCAGACGGTGGCCGTTGCATTTTTGCTCCATTTATAGACTGGAAGGATATAGTTTCGTTGCCCAGCTTCTGAGTTGAGTGCATGGCGTGACACTATGAGCAGCCGATTCCATTTAAACTGTGATAAACATTTTGTGTGTTTTTCGCTGTCACAGGAGTGGAGCAACTATGGGGTGACCCGTTTGCTATGAAGCTGAAACTAGGATTACCAGATTACCAGATTACCAGACTACATCTTTGAAGGACACCCCTCCCCCCTCCCCCAGTTAGTCGCCTGCTACGACATGCTTAATAAGTAATTCATCAATGTGACTATTACTTTTGTGTGTTCCAGACAAGGCGAAAGAAATCGAACAAGCTTGAACCTTCTGTCCGTTGATTGACTGTAAACCTGCTGGAATACACCCACTTAATAAATGAAAGTGGGGATAGTCATCAGACAAGACAAGCCAGCAGTTTTCGTTGTGTGTGTCTTTGTGGCATGGTAGTCCGTGTTGCAATAAGTAGATCGTTAATGGAGGAAAGCAGCTGATATCACATCCTCTCGTATATTGACACTAGCAAACACAGCAGTTTTTCTAGTGAGAACGGTATGGTTTTGTAGCTGATAGCAAACAAAATGACGGTAGGAGACTCAACTGTGAACCCCGTACAGCATCTGCCGGAACAAGTGACCCAGGTGAGTTATCAGTTACAGTATATGCAGATAATTATAGTTACATTATATGAAATTGTTACATTACATATAGTTACATTAGACTTGGTTATATTACATTCAGTAGCACTGCATACTGTTATTGTTTTAGATACAATTGTACATTAGGTACAGTTAATTTAATAATAGTTACATTATATGCAGGTATATTATATGCTACTACATTAGATACAGTTATATTAGATACAGTTTCATTAGGTATAATTACAGTAGATAAGATGCAGTTAAATTAGATACAGTTACATTAGATAGTCACATTAGATACTGAGGTTAGATAATCAAATTAGAAAGTCACGTTAGATAGTCACGCTAGAAAGTCAAATTACATAGTCACGTTAGATAGTCCAGTTAAATAGACAAATTAGATAGTCACATTACAAAGTCAAATTAGTAAGTCACGTTAGATAGTCATATTAACATAGTCATGTCAGATAGTAACATTAGATTGTAAAATTAGATAGTCACGCTGGATAGTCATATTAGATAGTCGCGTTAGATAGTCATATTAGCTGTTTAAATTAGAATCAGTCACATTAGATACAGTTACCTTAGATACAGTTACATTAGAGACAGTCACATTAGATAGTTACATTAGATGCAGTTACATTAGATGCAGCTACATTAGATACAGTTACATTAGATACAGTCACATTAGATACAGTTACATTAGATGCAGTTACATTAGATACAGTCACATTAGATATAAAAGTTACATTAGATAGAGTTACATTAGATACAGTCACATTAGATACAGTTACATTAGATACAGTTACATTAGATACAGTTACATTAGATACAGTTACATTAGACACAGCTACAATAGATATAGCTACAGCAATTTAGCCAGTGGCACAGCAAAGTCAGGCGGTACTCGGCGCAGACAATTTTGTGTCACCTTACAACCCCCAACCACCCCAATCCCCTTCCACACACACATACACACATACTCACACACATTTTTACCTTCTTGTCACCCCACCCCCAACCCCCACTCCTGGGAGAACATCCGGGAATGCCAGCATCCACTTCACACCCCTTTCTACGCCACTGGGTACAGTTACATTAGGTACAGTTACATTATGTACATTAAGTATGGCTACGTTGGGTACATTTACACTGGGTACGGTTACATTAGGTACTTTTACACTGGGTACAGTTACGTTGGGTACAGTTACATTGGGTACAGTGTCATTGAGTATAGTTACATTGGGTATAATTACATTGGGCATAGTTACGGCTTTAGTCAAATTGAATACAGTTACAGTAGATACAGTTACAGTAGATACATTTACATTAGATACAGTTACATTAGATATAGTTACAGTAGATACAGTTACAGTAGATACAGTTACATTAGATACAGTTACAGTAGATACAGTTACAGTAGATACAGTTACAGTAGATACAGTTACATTAGATACAGTTACAGTAGATACAGTTACTTTAGATACAGTTACAGTAGATACAGTTACAGTAAATACAGTTACAGTAGGTACAGTTACATTAGATACAGTTACATTACATGCACGAACATAAGATGCTACCTATATCAGATTTGCACTTTTGAAGGAGAGATAGTTGATAGATTAAATTAGCTACAAATCCATTTCAAACCCGCCAGGTGAGGAAAGAAACAATCAAGGCCTTCCCGCACTCCAAAAGAGTTGGAGGTTACTTGCTAGGCCAAACACTTGGCGTTGGCAGCTTTGCCAAAGTTAAGGAGGGTCTACATCTCGTGACTGGAGAGAAGGTGAGTGAACACGATCTTGTCAATGTCGGCTGTGACCTAATGTTCCAGGCTCTTTATCGATGGATCGGTTTGTCCCTCCAGGTTGCTACCTACGGTTTAACATACCGTATTGAAGTTTGATGTTGTGAGGCCTCTATGGGAGCGAGTGAACAGTGCTGTGGCACACATAAATTATTACGGTCCAAGGAAAATGGCACTGCGGGAAGTTACCAGGGGATCTGACCGACGCTCAACACTCAAGGGAAGGAAAGGCGAGACGGATGTACAATAAGACAATTACTGGTACCATCGGAATTGGAACTCTTCGGTTGCTGCTGGAAATGGGGACAGGGCGCTTATTGGGGTGTCAAGAGTGCTGTGATGTCAATCCTTAATTCAGCATTTAACATTAAACATACCATCTTCAGATTAACAAATATCAGGGAAGATGTGTGGGGTAAGGCCCTCCCAGAGCAAAGATTCTGGAAGATATTCAACACTGAGGGGGGGGGGGGGGGGGGGGGGGGAAGACGGATTTTGAATCAGGTTGCAGCTGGTACTATAAGCATGCTGGTTCTTCTTATAGGAAAAGAGATGGAACACGTACGGGAATTCCAGAGTACAGTGATATCATTTTCTTTATTCCCTCAGTTATTCATGTATTCATTTTTTTCCCATTCATTCATGTATTTTTATTATTTTTATTCTTATTATTCCACTCCTCTGGTCTGTGAGATACTGGAGAAAGCAAGTGTATCTATACCTTTGAGGTTGAACTCAGCGGAGATGTATTGGGGTGGGAAAGGGGGGGGGGGGAGGAGAGCCCTTCTAGAGAAAGTTCTGGTAGATATTTAACACTGTTGGGGGAAATGGGTGGGCTTTTAATCAGGATGCAACTTGTACAATATGCATGCTGAATCTTCTTTTAGGGAATTAGGCGGAGCACTCGCGGAAATTCCTGCGAGCAGTTATATCACTTCTTGATTCTAAATCACTATTTTATTTATTCTTTCATTCATTCATCTGTCCTGATTATTCTCTTTTTTTTTTTTTTTTTTTTTTTTTTTTAAATATGTTCTGCTTTTTGCAGAACTGCCCACTAATCTGTCTTTTGTAAATCGTTGGAAAAAGCTTAGTGTATCATCAAATGAAGTTGCAGTGAATTAATTAAACAAAAGAAACTCAATGAATTAAACAAAGAGGACTCAAGGAATACAGAATGCAGATGCTCTCTCTCTCTCTCTCTCTCTCTCTCTCTCTCTCTCTCTCTCTCGCTGCTTGTCTCTCTTTCTAACCCGGCTTCTGTATCTCTCTTTGTGCATTTCTCTCTATCTATGTCTCTTTTTGACTGTCGCTGTCGCAATCTCTGCCTAATTTTAAAAATTTTTCCCTTTGTACTCGTTGTGTGTCTCGCTCGTCGCTCTCTCACTCAATCTTTTTCTTATTCAATCTCTCACACTCGACCTCTCTTCTGCTCTCCCTTTTTTTTTCCCCGAGCCCTGTTCCATTTTTCTGGAAAGCGAGATATCATGAATGACCTCTGAAAAAATAGTCCATTTTATGGTTTCTCGTTGAAGTCTTTATTGAACTCATTCAATTGGTTCCCACTTCAGTGCCTGTTAAATTATATCTGTTACTATCAGGTGGCCGTAAAAATCATCGACAAAAAGCGAGCGAAGACAGACAACTATGTTCGTAAAAACCTTCGTCGCGAGGGGAAGCTTCTTCAGCTGATCAGACACGCCAATGTGGTATCTTTGCTGGAAGTCATGGAGACGGATAACTCCTATTACCTGGTCACAGAGATGTGTCGGTGAGTGTCTTACAGTAGAAAGTTTAGTCTGTGAATGTGTTGACTTCTGAATCATCGTCTTCACTATCAGGGTCGTCCTCCTCGTCATCAGTAACAGCACCATTGTCATGACCATCCTCATCATAGTCATTATCATAGTCGTCAACATCGTCATAGTCATCATCATCCTCAGTATCACATTATTATCATAGTCATCATCTAGATCATTATCATAGCCATCATCATCATTACCATCATCATTAAAGTCATTATCATCAGCAACATCATCATCATCAATAATAGATTATTATCATAGCCATCATCATCATTACCATCATTATAGTCATTATCATTATCATAGTCATCATCATCATTACCATCATCATCATCAATAACAGCATCATTGTCACCATCGTCATCATCATCAACATAATCATCAACACTATCATCACCATTCTCATCTTAGTCGTCATTATGGAACGATATCTACAAATTAAATGTCTCCTCCCAGCTCACACTCACACGGTGTTGTATCAGCTTCAACCGTGCTCTGCGTTGTCCTCTGTGCTCGCCGGACATGACTCACAATGACCACCATAAAGTCCAGTAAATTAGGCCCTTCTACGCCAGGAAATTCACTGCGTCTGTGGCGTCAGGATCATTAATAACAAAAAATCAAACAGATCATCGTTCACTGGCTTGCCGGTAGATGACTTCGTCGTTGGTCAGACGGGTATTTGGGCCTGTCTTCTGTGATCGCATTACCACTGCAAAAATTCTTTTCAGAGCTACTTGGTGGCGGCGGCGAGAAGTGCTAAGCCATTTTATGTGACGCATATAAACCTAGTCCCAATTAAAACTAAAAGCGCGCCCTTCTGGCAGCTGCTTTAATGTGACGATTTTTTGGTTCGCATAGCAACCAGACTAAAACAATCCGCACTGAATATGTGATACAGTCGGTCGCATTTATTTCTCAGAGAATCTTCCGATAATTCTGTTGAACGGGATTTGAACCTCACGGCCATAGAGCTGGCGTGTGTGCACTCTACTCACTCTAGGGGCACCTAAACAAAGAAAACATCGGGGATGCTTAGATGGGAATCGGGTTTTCAGGTCCTTTCTAAATAAATGATGAAGGGGGGGGGGGGGGGGGGTGGGGGTGGCGCGCGCTTATGGGGCCCAAGAGTTAAACGCGTAACAACATCAGCTACAAAAACAGTAACAGCAGCAACAAAATCAACAACATTACCAGCAGCAACAACACAGACAGCAACAACTGCATCAAAAACAGCAACAACAACAAAAACAGCAGAGGTAACTACAACAACAGCGACAACAACAACAATTTGCAGACCTGCAAATACTTATAGTGATAATATTCTTTAATCATAAAAATATATTTGAAATATTAAATATTTTACAAACATATACTTACATATTTATATAATTTTTATATATAATAAGTAAATACATACAAAGATTACTTGTTTAAATATGATTAGAGGTCGGCAAAGTTCCATTACACATTGTGTATGTATTAGGAAATGAGCAGATAGACTGACTGGTTCTGCACCACTTGGTGGTAAACTGAGAAACGAGCTAGATGTTCTAAGCGCCCTTTGGGATAGAGTGAAAGTGTGGAGGCACAAATAGATCTTTACGGTCTGAGGAGAATGGCGCTGCGAGGGGTTACCAGAGATCTGGCCGACGCTGAACACTCAAGAGAAAAACAAAACGGATGTAGTCAGTTTTACTGGTACCGTCGGAATTGGAACTCTTCGCTTGCTGCTGAAGATGGGAATGGAACGCTTATGGAAGTATTCCGAGTGCTGTGATGTCGCTTCAAAATTCAACATTGTATAGGTGGGTGGGTATTCAAGGACCCTAAACCCTCAGGTTCCAACACCCGTGCTTAGTGTTGAGTAAACTATTGTGTGCTTCATTTGTTTTCCTTGGCGTTATTTCGCAGCGGCGGAGACCTAATGGAGTATATCAGTGCCAAAAAGAGGCTGCCAGAGGCGGAGGTGGCAACATTTATCAGACAGATCATCTCGGCGGTCGACTATCTTCATCGTATGGGCATCATCCACAGGTAACATTCCCAAGTGTTTTTGCTCTATTCTCGTTTTGTGTTTGGATTCATGCCTTGTTTTTGTCTACTGAAGAAGACAGTTTAGTCGCAGTGTCATTTCTGTGAACTTTTATTTGTATTAAACTAACACTTTCAATTTTCCGCTTTTGTTAAAGTATCAGTTCTTTTCTAAACTTAAAATTTTAAATTCTAATGTCGAATCAGTACTTTTGTATTTGGCCGAAACATGGAGAACAACTAAGGCAATTACTAATAAACTACAGACATTCATTAGCAGGTGCCTGCGCAGAATATAGGGAATTAAATGGTATGATAGAATCACGAATGTAGAGCTTTGGGAGAAAACTAAGCAAGCTCCAGTGGACCAAGAGATGAAGAAAAGACGCAGGCGTTGGATAGGACACACATTGAGAAAACAGGAGAACAGCATAACTAGAATGTCTTTGCATTGGAACCCACAGGGGCTGTAAAACGGATGTGGACGCTATACTCAGGTTCTGGAACAAAACTATAGTCTAGAGGTAGACGAACAATCAGCGATTTCCGTCAGAGTTTATAGTCCATGAATGCAAAGAAGAAGAAAAAGAAGAAGTAGAAGAAGATGAAGAAGAAGACGAAGAAGAAGAAGAAGAAGAAGAAGAAGAAGAAGAAGAAGAAGAAGAAGAAGAAGAAGAAGAAGAAGAAGAAGAAGAAGAAGAAGAAGAAGAAGAAGAAGAAGAAGAAAAAGAAAAAGAAGAAGAAGAAAGAGAATAATAATAATAATAATAATAATAATAAGAAGAAGAAGAAGAAGAAGAAGAAGAAGAAGAAGAAAGAGAAGAAGAAGAAGAAGAAGAAGAAGAAGAAGAAGAAGAAGAAGAAGAAGAAGAAGAAGAACAAGAACAAGAAGAAGAAGAACAAGAAGAAGAGTAACCTGAATCACTTGCTCGTAATATAGATTATTAACTATCAGACAGAGAAAAAAGAAACGTTCTTAAGTTCTGTCGTTTGAATATCTACCCGTGGTATCTCCAAATCCTCACTCTATTCATATTGCTGCAATGTGAACGAACCAGCTTTCATAAGATCTAATTCATATCTGAATGAATGTTCCAAGCCACTGTTTGCTGGTTAGGAACGTACTCTTCGCGAATGCTTCACTTTATTATATATGACCCAGTCTTTCATAGATTTATGTTATTTTATGTATTTGTATAATATAAACCGATTCATCGGGGATAATGACACGCTCTGTAGTAACCAGGCAGAAAGTTTCTGGTGGAAGGGAGGCGGGGGGGGGGGGGAGAGAAAAAAAAGGAGAGAGGGGGAGGGGGGGGGGGTTATGACATGAAAGCTTAAATCTTCACGGATGGTGCAGCCGACAGGAACTTAGGATGTTTAATTTTTGCCCTCCAATAGTAAACATCCTCACCCCTTACTGAGAATCAAGTACAGGTCTCCCTTAGTCTTTCAGTAGCCAGCATGTATTACTTTAACTCATTCTATTCTAATAACTTGTTAATGTCACTAATAACTGTTTAGGCCTGAAGATTAAAAGAAGTTAATTTAATGATTTGATGCGTCACCAAAAAAAAATATCATGTCAGTTGAAGTCAACAAACTCATGATAAATGGTTTGATTATTGAATGAGTTAAGAATGAACTCCTACGGTGAGAGAAAAAATTGTATGCTGCAATGAAAGGTGGCTACCTGTTGCTCTTACCTGATAAGGCAACCATTACCTCTCGGTGCCACTCTCGTACAGTCGGCTGGGAAAAAAAAAAACCCACCCACCGTGGAATAGAACACTCATTTACTGACCCGTAGGCCACAGAGTCGCCCTTAGGATATACAGAGGTATGTAATTACTAGCAGGAAATAAAAGAGTTGATCGATTCAAAATTCATATTGCTTTAAGCTGACTGATGTCATAAAATGAGCCTATCTGAAAGTTATAGGTAATTTCTTTATAGTTTTGTTATAATCGATAGTTGAGTTCAGAACCGACATCACTGCTCTTAAGACATTCCCATAAGTGCTTCGACTAAATATTCAGCAGCCAACACAAGAGTTCCTATTTCGATAGAACTAGGAGCAGTCTGATTATATGTCCGTCTTATCTTCTCCCCGAGTGTTGAGTGTCAGCCAGAGTGTCGATAGAGATGATGCACATTTTATTTACTTTAAGTAGAAGAACAAAAATCCATGCAACTGTCATACAGTAATGCTGTAATGAAAAACAAAAAACATTGGATGGAATTTAACTCTTTTAGTCCCAGGGGGTTTAGCATCACAGGCCCGGGGGGTTTAGCATTACAGCATTACAGGCTAATACAGATCAGATAACGTCATAAGTCGTTTGGGGACTTCTCACGAATTTGCCCGCACGGCGAGAATTCCTTCTCTTTCCATTCGTGCCGCGGCCGGTCGCACGGCCTGTCCTTTAATTAAAAAAAAAGGGGGAGGGGGAGTGCTATGAGATGGTTTCGTTGGTCGTTCTCTCGCCGTAAATAATATTTATGAAAGGTTGTGTTGTGAGTCTCTTTGAGGCGCCACAGGCGCCTGTGTGTAAGTAAGAAGTACTGCAGGGAAAAGGGCCGAAGTCACAAATTTCTTGAATATCGAAACTGGGATGTTTTTGTATTTCTACGTCTCTCGGCGGAGGCTTCCTACCAGAAAACGAAGCCATTGACAAAGAACGTAGAAAAAACAAAAACTGTCCAGTTTCGATACTTACGATCCGTCGGGCAAGTTGCAAAACGTGAAAACAATGACGCAAATGAGCGGTGACAACACGAGAAAAGAGACAACGGAAAACACTGAAAATAAGGAATACATGACACCTCCACAACATAGGACGCGGCATGAATGGAAGGGGAAGGAACGCTCGCCGTGCGGGCTGGCTCGTGATAAGTACCATCGTTTGATTACTGACAGAAAGAAAACATGGGTATGTCGCAAATATAGAGACACTAATTCTTTTTATTCAATTAATTAATCATGCGGTTGACGGCGTGTTAATGGAGTGTTGGAGGTAATGAGATTTAGTTTGATCTAACACTGACTTGATAATTGTATTCTAGCTGGATGTCTCCAGTAAATACTAGAATATTTATAATTGTGTGGATCCTTTCAATCAAATAAGGCATAACTTTTCATTCTTATATCCTTCTTATTTGTTATTTAAAGTAAAACATTTCTGGGTCTAAATGGGTTAAACAATAACACTATAGAAGGAAATGAGTTGAAGTAAATATTGGAATACAATGAGTTAATGTATGGACCTTAAGAGTGAAAACCAGTGTTTATTTATGTTTATGTTTTTTCAACGGATCAACATCATGGTACAGGGGTGTAACCCATAAGTGCTTCGTTCTTCTTCTAAGCTGAGTCTGAAGAATCTCAGCGCAGTGCACGAACTTTGTTACAACGGCGAGGAACTTGAAATACTTGGGTAGATTTTTAACTCCAAATTTTGCCCCGGCAGCACTGTTAGGCTACTCTTTTCGATTTTTAACTGCTAAGGAATTCTTTACGTGCACAACAATACACACGGGTGTCCTGTCTTACTACCCAGAGAAAATTACTAGAAGTCCACATGAAAAACTCCCAGCCCTCACCGGGGCTTGACCCAGGGAGAATTTTCTAGCACTCGAGGCGGAGACAGACTTCTAGAATAAAGATTGAAATAGTCACTGATACCTTGAGACTCCACAAAATCACGCCCCAAAGTTCTGAAGTAAATATATCGGCATAGATACGGAAGCTGAAACATTTTGGTCATATCAAGCTTCATAGCGGATTAGGAAAAAAAATAATAGCGGAAGGCATGGTATCAGGAAGTAGGGGCAGGGGCCGACCAACACGAAGATGGGCACACGATATGAGTGACTCCTTGAATATGAAAGTACACGAGGCGGTAGAGCTGGCGAGAGACCGAGTTTCTTTCAGGCAGACTGTGATGAGAGCGACGTTCTGCAAAGGACCTGCTACATGATTATGATGAGATACGAATCACTAGGTTTCCATAAGTTCCTGGAAATAATGAGTGTCTTACCCACCACATGCCGAGGCCCCCCCCCCCCCCCCGAAACATGACGTTGGTTTACACAGGCTCAAATGGCTACCAGATAACGTCATGGGAAGTATAGGCGGCCGGCGTGATATTGACCACATCACCCACCGAATGCCGATTGGTCTATAAAATATAGATCTTGCCCTTTAAACACATTACGTATGATGGAGTGGAAAACGGTTATTTTGTAACCTATCCTATAAGGGGCAAGACAAGATTTAAAAAAAAAATATCCTGAGGTTTCGATTGTGAAAAATAAGTAAGGAAACATCCCCTAATTAGTCGACTCTACGACATGCTTGTTTGGGTGAGTCTATCAGGTTCTAGAGCAAGACTAGAGTCCAAAGAGGGACGAACAGCCAGAACTTTCTGCCGGAGCTTGCAGCCAGAAGACAAAGAAGACATGGAAAAGATGTCCCTTTTTAACCAATCTAATAACTAGCATTAAGTGGCAAGATAAGACTAAAAAAAAAAAAAAAAACACCGAGGTCGTCTTGATTGTAAGAAACACATGAGGTAAAAAGCCCCTAATTAGTCGACTCTACTCTACGACATGCTTGTTAGGGTTGCAGTGGGTCTCTCCCCCCCCTTCCCCCACCCCTTCCCCCCCACCATAAAATGAGGCCCGGAACCCACACGGAAACATGCTAGTATGGATACTGCATGAAGCCAACACCACTACTCTTGCTCCCAACATCTAAATTCAGGACGCAGCCGTAACACATGAAACACGCTGAATAATTAATTCATTGATTGCTTTCTTTGGCTCTACCTAACTCATCAATAAGTTCAACATTGCCAGCCCATTGTGCCAGATTGGGCTTTGAGATGTACAATGTTCGCGACCAGTCCGGCGTTAAATTATTTGCTTTTGAAGTTTTATCAAAGAAATTGTAAGGGTTGCTTCAAATATTTTTTATAGGGCTTCTCAGGAGACTGATACGTAGTCAAAATCAGACATTTTCACCAGTTTTTTTTTAAATTATTGCGAATCACGGTCTCATTTTAATTGTGTGAATACCCCGTATGCATTTCAGCCCTCCCCCCCACCACAATTTTTCTCCGATTTTCACTCTCGGGGGCATCCCTAAGCACCCCTCCTCCAATATCTCTCTGATTGTCGCTCTTGTAAGCACCCCCCCCCCCCTCCAGCAATATCTGTCTGATTGTCGCTTTTGACAGCATCCCCCCCTTTCCCCGTGGTCCACACTGATGGATCGGTCACCCGGGGTAGGCGAGGTACATGGGCGTACTATAACAGCGCAAAAGGAAAAACCATCAGGGAGACGGTTGGTGTCTTTGCTATTACAAAGCAGCCTCACAACAGAGCCTATGGTGCAGCAAGATCTTTGACATGGCTGGGTACTCACGAATTCACACCTACGTGCATACGGAGGGATTCAGTTAATGCACTGAAGAAAATCTCTGCCGGCCTCATCAGACATGAACGGATTCTCTCATTCAATTAATGAAGAATAACTCATCTTACCTATATCTTTGTGCTGGAAGATGCGGGTGTTCAAGGAATTGAGCGTGTAGAGTGTATGGCAGGCAGCCCGGCATTGGGCACGAGTGGTGTCATTAATACAATGCGAGATGCATTTGGCGAAGAAGATCAGCGCTCTTGTCCAGGTGGAAGACACTGGGGTGCAACCTGTTCACCACGGGCACAAGACCTCTGATTAATCAACAGAGAACTGGCGTGATCAATGTTTTTACTCTTGTGTGGCTGCTGAGGAGTAGATCGGAGCAACTATGGAGCTGCCCGGGGTGCTGTGATGACAGTCCTAACTATTCCATAATATAAGGATTTTTCTGTACAACCACATATCCGAGGCCTGGAAAAAATTGTTGGTTTGTTAAGTGTCCATAAGTCACAACTATATGTTAGAACTGGTACTGTGTGGCATGTTAAGAGTTCTTTATCTAACCTCAGGTGGATTTAGTGCACACAATGTTCTGCAGTGCAATTTCAGCCCGTCCTACTCCGTTCTTCAACTCTAGGATCCATCTTCCTTCGAATGATATCCATGTGCCTAGATACTTACATTTATGTACTTTCCTAAAAAAAATGTCTTTTTTTATTTACACACTTAGGCACTAATCTGTTCTTCGGTTTTATCATTACTTATGTCTTCTAATTATTCAAGTTGAGACCTATTCAGCCACTTTCTACCACTGCTGCATCTATCAGTCCCTGTAGTTCTTTCTGTCTTGTCGTTGTCAAGACAGTGTCATCAACATAACCTAGGTTGTTTATACTATGAACATCAACCACAATTCCTGGCGAATCTGTTATAGATCTCATGTATTCCCTGTATGAAGAAAGCAACTCAAGTGATAGTATACATTCTTGTTGTACACCCCAAGTGATAGTATACATTCTTGTTGTACACCCTCAGTGATAGTATACATTCTTGTTGTACACCCCAAGTGATAGTATACATTCTTGTCGTACACCCCAAGTGATAGTATACATTCTTGTTGTACACCCCAAGTGATAGTATACATTCTTGTTGTACACCCCAAGTGATGGTATACATTCTTGTCGTACACCCCAAGTGATAGTATACATTCTTGTTGTACACCCCAAGTGATAGTATACATTCTTGTCGTACACCCCAAGTGATAGTATACATTCTTGTTGTACACCCCAAGTGATAGTATACATTCTTGTTGTACACCCCAAGTGATGGTATACATTCTTGTCGTACACCCCAAGTGATAGTATACATTCTTGTTGTACAGCCCAAGTGATGGTATACATTCTTGTCGTACACCCCAAGTGATAGTATACATTCTTGTTGTACACCCCAAGTGATGGTATACATTCTTGTTGTACACCCCAAGTGATAGTATACATTCTTGTCGTACACCCCAAGTGATAGTATACATTCTTGTTGTACAGCCCAAGTGATGGTATACATTCTTGTCGTACACCCCAAGTGATAGTATACATTCTTATCGTACACCCCAAGTGATAGTATGCATTATTGTCGTACACCCCTCTTAATGTTTTGCAATTTTTTCAAATGGGAAAATGAGTACGATTTACTGACCTATAAACACAAGCAGGGTTTTTGTAAAATGTGAATCACGTTCTTATGATTCGCGTAACTTTAATTTCTGTCAAGACATTTATAATTTGCTTTTCGACTGTCAAATGGTGTCCTCGTCACTCTTCTGTACAAAATTCGGTCATCTTCACTGCAGTTTCTGCCTAATCAACTGATAGTCCTGACTCACCACAATAAGACTGTGAGGAGCTCTTTGTCCAATGAGTGAAGAAAGGCAGAGAAAGAAAAAGACAAGAGTTATTATATTGACTTAATTTATTCTGACATTGACTTACCCTTCTGTTATCTGACCCATAATGTCACAACATTGACTTATTTGATTGTCCGATTGCTTATTCTTTTATTGCAATGCTGTTACATTGACGTATTCTGTTGTTACATAGACCGTGTTGTCACACTGGTCTACTCCAATATTAATTTATATACTTCCTTATTGCTTTTCAAACTAAATATGGAGTATAGGAAGATTGATTGTTTTTGTGACATTTGCTTCTGCGACTAGTTGGCTGTTGCATTCTCCTCCGTATGTAGACTAAACTTGCTATAAAGTTGGAAATGCAATTATCTAACTTGGAAATTGACTCTTCTGTTACTATTACTTAGACTTTTTTTTTTACACTAACTCATTATAGTATTCGATTGACTGATTATATTGGTATATTGACTCATTACATTGCTAAGTGACTCATTCCATTGCAGCATTTATTACTTCTTTTGTTATGTTGTCCCACTCTGTTGTTACAACTCACGCTGTTGTTGCATTGACTCTTCTACAGTAGCATTTACTTCTGTTTGACAGGGACCTGAAGATTGAGAACTTACTGCTGGATGAAAACAAAAACATTAAGTTAATAGGTAAATATGATTGATATGAAACCTCTGTGATTGTTCATGCATAAATGTGAACGGTCAGTTCCGAATTATTAACTCACAGTAAAATAAACAAAATGTAAACTGCCTTTCAAGAAAATATACATTCTCTTTCTCACAGAAAGACAGATAAAGTCATTTTTCTACAACTGTAGTCATGTCATGTTTGCTTCTGTGATTGGTTGGGACTCGAAATGCTGAAGAAGAAGAATCAGCAGAAGATGAAGAAGAAGAAGAAGATGAATAATAATAATAATAATAATAATAATAATAAGAAGAAGAAGAAGAAAAAGAGGAGGTGGAAGAAGAAGAAAAAGAAGAAGGAGGAGGAGTAGGACAAAGAAGGAGTAGGAAGAGGAGGAGAAGAAGAAGAAGAAAGAGGAGGAGGGGGGGGGAGGAGGAGAATAAGAAAAAGAAGAAGAAGAAGAATAAGAGGAAGAAAAAGAAGAAAAAGAAGAAAAGGAAGAAGAAGAAGAAAACATTTAATTTTCAGAACAGAGTACATAAATAGTATAGGTTGAATATTATAGTATGCCTACCCCATTATCCATCCATTCATCGCATATCCATCCACTCTGTATATCACCTATCAACTCAGCTACCCACCTGTTCATCCACCCACTCATCCATGACAGTTAATTCGAATATCAACTATCAACACACCTAGACACCTAGCCCACACCTCCATCAATTATAACCAACCCAAACTCACCCACCAATCTATAAATAAAGCAAATATTAAAAGACAAAGTGACCCCACCTCCCAAACCCCCCCCCCCCCAATCCCCTCCTTTCCACCCCAAAAGGTGTTAAACTAAAACCTGTAGAAAATAAAAGCTAAACCAATTAGGGATTTAAGAAATAACAATTTTAGCAAAAAAAAAAAAAAAAACACACACACACATCCCACTAATATGTTAGAACCATTTAAACAGAAGAACAGAAATGGTTAAAATAGTGTGCAAATATAATAAAAGTGGAAAAGAAAGAGCCTGACAAACTATCATCATGGTAAGCATAGAAAGGAAAAAAAAAAAAAAAAAACAGCAGTAAATTTAGCAGATCAGTAACTCACAGATACTAAATCTTTTTTAAATATTTTTTTTTTTCCACTCCTTATCCTTCAGTGGAGCATAGGACCATTACCAACCCACACCAAATCATCTTATCTCTTTCCATTGCATGCAGCCCTCTTCATGCACTCCAAGTAATATTCAGCACATCTTCTTTGGTCTCCCTTTATTTCATTGACCATGTGGGTTCCAGTGCAAGGTCAATTTTTAATTATTATCATCAGGTTTTCTTTTTCTATACACAGCCTGTGAAAGCGTAATTTTCCAAATCCTTTATCTTAGATTTAATTATTTGTTTTTTTTAACGTTTTCTTCCAACACCGTTTTTCATTCTGTCATATCATTGAAGGCCCTCTATTCTATGCAAATGTAAGTTAACATATGTTTGTATTGCATTAGTTGTTCTCATCCATATAAATAGTACTGCTGTGAGTTATAGTACTGAAGTGAGTTAAGTCTAAGTCTGGTACTAGTTTATCTTCCACAGATTTCTAGTGCCATTAAAAGTTGTGTTCATTAAATGAAGTCTTAGTATGTCCCCCATCTTCATCAGACACATCTACTTTCAGCAAACCACTAATCCAGTGAATCTCAGTTTTTTTAGGTGGTGCCCATTTAAATATATGGCAGGAACCCCACCCCCCTCCCACTAAAGAAAATGTGATAACAAAGAGGAGGCCAAAAAGAATAATCACAAGCACTATAAACAAGAACATGGAGAAGAACATCTACATAAATAACTGTCATTACTGCTACCACTTTTTAGGGCGGTGTAGACCGTGGGAGGGGTGAGCTTGATCCGGAGGATTTAGGGCCGCCTGACTAGTGGTGTCACCATGGACTGCAGGTTAGGATGTTTAATTTAGCCCCTGACTGACAAACTCCACCACCTTACCTGGGATGGAACACGGGTCTCCCGCATGAGAGCCAGAGGTTAATAAAGGAAAGAGTCAATTTACATAATTTCCTTGGCTTTTTGTTTTGTATATAGTTAAAAAATATTTTATTTATAATTAAACTGAAGCAAATGTTAATTTAGCAGATTATTACAAGTATAGACAAACTCAACTTCCAAATACTTCATGCCCCTCACCACCCAATGAAAACTTTATTATGCCCTCAAGTTCAAAACCACTGCCCTAGTTAGCTGACTTTTATGACAATTTTGTCGGTGGGAGGAGTGGAAGTGGCCATTCCTCCCCCTCCCATCCAAAATGAGGCTCTTTTAGTCTGTGAAGTGATCTAGAATAGGTGAAAGCCTAACACTTCACACCTCAAATGCAAAAGCTGCTTCTGGATTATCTAGATCTTTTCTAATCACATTTTATTTTGAGATGTTTTACTACATTACCACTTTGCAATTTTATTTAATTTTCAGATTTTGGACTGAGTAATTTTATCAAGGTCGCAGATTCTCCTGAGGGAACACAAGCACAAGAATTCTGTGTAACCCAGTGTGGAAGTCCTGCCTACGCAGCTCCTGAGTTGTTGAACCATGAAAAGTATGGGCTGCAAGTTGATCTGTGGAGCATGTAAGTCTCACTGTGTGGCACTAGCACTTTGTTTAGTGCTATGATGCTAAAGGTGTTTCTGAGCAAGAGGTGTTCCAGAACTAGAAATGATAAAGTTCTAAAGATCATTGTGTAGTACAGGTGTTGATGTAGTAGAGGGAATAATGGATTAGATGTAGTAATACAGGCAAACCGCTGTTGAAGCGAACATTTGCTTTCAAAAGAATTTGATGTGTCAGTTGGGATAGTTTAGAAGGTTGTTCATAAGAAACTGCAATATCAGAAAGTTTGTTCATGGATGTTAGCTAACCACCTAAAAGAGGAACACATGGTTCATTGAGAAACCTTAATCCTTTTATGAAGCCTGAATTTATTGCCTACCTAAGTAATAGGATGATTGCTTGCATGCCTGATGGTACATGATACATTAAAAATGAATGCTTTGTTTAATTCTCTACACCTGTAGATTTTTCTTTTGCGCGTTTATAATAAAGCCATTGGAATGGATTTTAAATTAATGCTCTTTATAAATTGTTTATGTATTATTTACCCCAATTTATAAATTGGAGGGTAAAACAGGATATTATTTACATACAAATTACCAGTTGATTCTTAGTTAACTAACCAAAACAGGTATAGAACACAAAAGTTAAAGAAACAGTTGAAGTAGGATAGACTAATGGAACAGGAGAACGGGAAAAGTTAAAGAAACAATTATAATAGGGTAGAATAATGTAACAGGAGAATGGGACAGAAGTGAAAAGAAACAATTGTAATAGAATAGATTGATGTAACAGGAGAACACTAAACTACTTCAAGTCACAAACCATGAAACTTTAGACAGAATGATAACCAAGAGAAGATGGAAATGGCTTGGCCACGTTATGAGAATGAATCCTGATATACCCGCCAAAACAGCTCTCACATGGACACCAGAGGGTAAAAGAAAACAGGGGCGCCCAAAAACATCATGGAGACGAACAATGGAAAGTGAACTGAATGCAGCATCTTTGACATGGAAAACTGCACTGAAGATAGCACAGGACAGAAAAGCATGGAAAGTCCTCTCTGAAGCCTTATGTGCCACTTGGCATAACGAGAACTGATGATGATAATGATGTAACAGGAGAATGGGACAGAAGTTAAAAGAAACAATTGTAATAGAATATATTGATGTAACAAGAGAATAGGACAGAAGTGAAAAGAAACAATTGTAATAGAATATATTGATGTAACAAGAGAATAGGACAGAAGTGAAAAGAAACAATTGTAATAGGATATATTGATGTAACAAGAGAATAGGACAGAAGTGAAAAGAAACAATTGTAATAGAATAGATTGATGTAACAAGAGAATGGGACAGAAGTGAAAAGAAAAAAATTGTAATAGGATATATTGATGTAACAAGAGAATGAGACAGAAGTTAAATATAGCAACTGGGATAGAATGGAAAAAGAACAGAAGAATAGGACAGGCAGAATGACAGTAACGATTGAAATACAATGGATTAAAGTAATAGACTAGTGGGACAGAATAAGTTAAAGTAACAGTCGGGATATAGTTGATTAATGTAACAGAAGAGCAGGACACAAGCAGTTAAAATAACAATTTGGATAAAATGGGTTAACACAAAAAAATTTAAGAATTTATAACAGGTATAATCAATAAACACTGTTTGAGTTGTCTCATGCTTCAAGAGTTAACAATAATTTCTGCTGTGAAAGAGTTTTAAATGTTAAGTGCGTTAAACACTTCTTTTAGTTCTCTATGGAAACTGTAAAATATTTTACATGACCACATTTCAGAGGCGTGAACATGTACGCCATGTTAACCGGAGGACTTCCATTTACAGTGGAGCCATTCAACATCAAAGCTCTCTATGCAAAGATGAAAGACAGGCAGATGAACCCTTTGCCAGATAGTTTATCAAGGGGTAAATGATTTATGTTGTAAATTTGGATTCAATGTTCTGCTTAGATGTTACAAAAAGTTAATTTTAACTTGTGGCTCTGAATGCTGTATAATGAGTAAAGAGGTTCAAAACAGTGTTTTCCCATTGTGCATTTAAATAATGCCAGAAGCCATATATTAGTACAGGGGTGACCAACTTTTCGATTTTGATTGACTAATTGATCGGCAAGCCATGCTAGGTATATTGTGGTGGTCTGTGTCGTTTTGTCCAAAAGCTTCCACTTTCTTCTATGCTTTCACCAGCTGTAAACTCTGGCAGATAGTTCTGGTTGTTGGTCCACTTCTAGAATGTAGTCTTGTTCCAGAACCTGCATGCACATCTGCTACACATATCTAGCTTCTTTGTATGCAGACTGTTGGTTCCTTCCTTGCCTATCAAGCAGATGCACTCCGACTTCAAAGGAAGCTGTAATTAGTTAGCTCCTATGGAATGCTTTTAAGAAAGCAATGGATCTCCTCTTTTTTCTTCCCATAAATGGGTCCTGGAATTGTCAGCCACGAAAACTGTTATTATTGTTTGACTCCCTCTAGTGGACTAGTGAATGAAGAAATCTGTCAGCAAATTACCTCTAGTGGATTGGAGGACAGTTATCCGCAAATAAGTGTAAACTCTAGTTTACTAGCAAATCGTCTGGAATGCCTTTTTGATGGCAACATTGACCATTTAGGCAGCTTGAAAATACACGATTTTAAGAGTGTGATATGAATGCTTTCATCAAGTGACGTGTAGGCTAGTGATGGCAGAAATGGTTGAGGTGGCTTTAAAGACATGTGACAGTGTGATTACTGGTTACTTTAGTATATATTTTGTGTGTGCAGTGAAATTCACGCCTATTTTATAGAAACTTTGAGTTGTAATGAGTCAACCAGGAGATAGTAAGAAAAACCATAAAGACATAGCATTATCATAGTGAATGGGAGGAGGAGTTCTTATTCACTGTAGTGATAAATAAGTGTGTGTGTGCACGTGTGTATGTGTGTTTGTGTGTTATCTGTAACGTAACTGTTGCGGCGCTTATAAAAAAAAAATGATAAAAAAAAGATCATGCACAATAAATTTGCTACGGAATTTCCTATGCGTAATGATCTCTTGAAAGACTGAAGTGTCTGATCTTAAGTCAATGATTAATGCTCAACAGTGCATCTTTATTAAACCTCAAAGGTAGTGAGATTAGAATCCTTCATGATCGCCAAAGTTACTATTAAATGGGAAAACCCTTTTTGATGATTGCGAGATCATCAAAGAAGCTTTCTGTAAAGTGGAGATGTACTTCTCAATTAAAAGAAAAATAATAGAAAAAAAAAAATAAAGTGGAAACTGTGTCTATCAAAAAAGGCATACCACATCTCATATAACGTGTCTCATAAAGCTACTCAAATTCAAATGACACGATAGAATCCCAAATACTGTGGTTCTTGATTGGGCAAACCTGCCTAGCATCCACATGATACTGAAGAATTATCAGTTGCGCTGGGCTGGTTACCTAGCTCGCATTCCAGACTATCGCCTCCCAAAGAATTTTATGACTAGTTCCAGCAAGGGAAAAGGTCCCATGGAGGTAAGAAAAAGCGCTATAAGGAAACTCTCACAACTGCTGTCAATTCTTTTGGCATCAACACAGCAACATGGGAGGTTGCTGCAGAGGGCCGTACTGTATAGGCCTACATTCCGCAGGCATGGTGCATCAGCCTGCCTGGCAGCGGAGGTTGCACAGTCAGAGAAATGGAGGTAGACTAGAAAGAACATTATCGCTAATCGCACACTTACTGCGGCTTCTACCTGTTGTCCGCACTGCTCAAGAACCTTCCTGGCTCACACTGGACTAATCAGCCACCTTCGTACTCATAATCATTGATCATTACTACTTTGGATGAAAAGTGGTCTTCATCACTCGTGATGGATGAACAACACCATATCTCTTATTCTGAACCCTGGGATGAGGAAACAGAAATCATGGGTACGAAGTTGGAGGACCAGCTGCATGAAGACTTACGTAAATGCAATTTTCTGTGTCTACAGTTTGATGAATGTTTTGATTTTACTGATACAGCACAGTTATGTATTTTTGTAAGAAAATGATGTCAAGAGAAGAAATGTTAACCATTGAAGCTTTAAGGGGTCAAACAAGAGGTCAAGATATTTAGCATGCTTTCAAAGATTATATTACAAAGACATATTTTCCGATCCACAAATGAATGTTCATTACAACAGATGGCATACCATCTATGGTTGGAGCTAATGTTGGGTTTCTTACACTCTGCATAATACACCGTACCATTCAATCATTCATCAGCAAGTGCTATGTGATTCTAAGTTTGGATGATGTTATGATCCTAGTTTTGAATATCGTCAATCTAATTTTGTGCTAGGAGCTTACAAAAAATGTAAGTTTCAAGCTTTGCTTAAAGAATGTGGGGTTCAGCGTGGAAACCCCGTTTCGCACATAGATGTGCTTTGGATAAAGGTAGACAACGAGAAAAGATAGACAACCTTTTGCCATCTCATAGAATGATGTCATTAAATGATTTCAACAGCTAGAATGACACACATAGACTAAGTGATCTTACAGCCAGAATAACACAACTGGACTGGAAAGAAATGTGAGCTTCCAGAAAAAACAGACAAGGACCAGAAGATGTTCAAAGCAGTTGTGTAAATGGAAGATAAGACCATAAATAAACAAAATAAATCATGACAGATGGTAAGATTACTTTGATTCCTCATCCATACAGGACAGCAGGGCACACCTGTGTAGTACTCTGTGTAAACACTGTGAATGTTCTAATTCTAATTTCCTTTTAGGTTGAACAGGGTATCTGGGATTTTCTGTATTAGCTTGGCATAATCCAGAATGTGACTGCTTGGGTCACAGTGGTCTCAAACTTTTAGGCAGCAAGCTGGGGATTGTGGGATCAGGAACTGTCATCAGATACACACCAACAAGAAAATTAAATTAAAGAAAAGCAACTGTTTCAGACATTTGCGATAATTTAAAAACATAATTTAAACGCATTGTTTCCTGATGCCCTTTTGAACAGACTGCAGAGATTTGCTCTTGAAGTTTCTTACACCTGATCCAGCAAAAAGAGTGACTATCGCAGAAGCACTCAATCATCCATGGATTATGCAAGGTAATTTTACAGTCTCTTTGCTTTGTTGAGATTGTTTTTCTTGTCATATGATTACAACTTTCATAAACATCTGCTGCCATCTACACTTTTTTTTCTGGGAAAGAAAGACAACGAGGAAAGACCCTAGCCACCTCACTTCATATGTTAGGGCCTATAATATGCAAAGGCTTAACATTTCACACTACAATGGCAGCTACTGCTATGCAACTGCCTTTTTATATGTTAAGTTTTGAGCTAAGAACTGACATCACAGCACTCAGGGCTTCCCAAAAGCACTCCGTCTTCCTTTCCAGCAGCCAGCAAAGCGTTCCAGTTCCAGTGATGCCAGTAACAGTTTGGTTAATTAATGTCGTCTGTCTTGTCTTTCCTCTGAGTGCAGAGTGTCGATTAAATTCCCTGGTCACTCTCAGCTGTACAGACCAAAATGATTTTTATTCTTGCCTCTGCATTGTTCTCTTGCCTTCAAAGGGCCTTAACAACATCTAGCTTGTCATGTTCTAGATTCACCACCCATTGGTGCAGAACCAGTCAGTCTATCTGTTTATATGTTAAGTTGTCAGCTAAGAACTGACATCACAGCACTCAGGGCACTCCCAAAAGCACTCTGTTTTCATTTACCCTGGAGAAAATATCCAAAGAACAACCTCTGATGCGATACTTGCCACTCCGCATGGAGCATGCCTGTCTCCACCTTTCTTAACATGTTTTCTGGGTTGTTTACAGTCATGACATATGTTTACATGTTGTGTAATGTCACTAATCCATTAGCCTCTACACAAGCTATTATGTGAGGGAGATAAGACCTTGGACAGCCCAGAAAATTTTGAAAGTCACCAGATGAATCGCAATAGTCATGTGTGAAATATTTTTAACACTTTATAAATGTGTTTATTTAAGCTGAGAATATAACCTTTTTAAAAAATAGGTCATTCTTAAACTGTGGTAATTATAATGTGTTTAATTTAATGATCTTTTTGTGTTTACTTTATTAAACAGATATTTAAGAAAGAAAAAAAAAAAAAAAAAAAAAAAAAAATTAATAATTATCGAAACTGTTTTCTCGTCCTTTTAAGGATGACATTTTTCGTTATTTGAAGCCCTACTCTGGCTCTTGCCAGGAGCTGCAATATAGCCTGGCCATAAATATGGCATAAAGGCTGAATGCGGTTTCTGGGACCTCTCCACGGTGATCCTCACCCACATGGTGGCACATTGTGTCATCAGGTGTTTACCACTTGTGTGATGTCATGGTGGGGTAGAAAGTCAGTCAGTCAGTCAGTCATTAATCCAACAGCCTGTGATGTCATTGATCCATTAGCCTAGCCTGTGATGTCACTAATCCAACAGCCTGTGATGTCATCTATCTATCAGCATGTGATGTAACTAAACCATCAACAATCTTATGTGATCTTGTCTACAGACAATAAGCCGCTCCCAAGGCATCCATGCCCCAACAGGATGAGAGCTGCAGACCTTGATGCTGATATTCTGAGCCACATGTCAGATAACCTCAATTTTCGAATGGCTGAAGTTATCAAATTTGTTACAAGCAACATTCCTAGCTCAGGTAAGCTGGAGTTTCAAGACAGAAAGTCAACTCATTCTGTAACAAACAATGCCCTAAAAGTTGAACAGTAAGAACATGCTCACTCTCTTTGCTCAGCCCTATCTAAATCAAGTACAATCTACACAGTAAAAGTTGACTGCAATGGATTTTCCAACACTCATGATAAAAGCGCAAGCAGAACAGGGGAAAGCAGACCTGACTGTGATTCTGTTGGTTGTGCAAGATGGCAAACATCATTGACTGACTACATTTATGGGATGGGACATGATGATGATAACTCTGTCCATGCATGTCACTCATAAACGTGCTGGCTGTCAGGCATGCAACACCATACTGGACCTTCCTTCGCTGGCAAATATCTATAGGTGTCAATCATTTACTGATTTAAAAAAAAAATGAATATCAGAATGCTGCTCCTCTTTGATGCATGTCAAAAGTGTAGGGGGGGGGGGGGGGTGGCATTTTAAAACTGTTATTATGATGCCACCCTGTTTGTCTGCACAATTATATCCCATGATGACATGACCACTCTTGACATCCTTAACAACAGTACTGACAGGTTACAAAACAATGACATGGTTGTTGTAATGTCTGTCACACTTTTGAGGTTTTTCAGTCCTCTGGTTTAAATCTGTATTTATTGTGACTGTGGAGATAGAAGCCTAAGTTCAGTTTCCAGAAATTTCAGAATTTGTATCTGACCAGTACATTGCTGGGGTGGACACAACCTCATAACAAGGGGTAGATAATTCCCAGAATTGTCTGGGAAGGAAAGTGATGAGGAATGGAACTAGGACTTCTATCAGGTGGTGCGCAATACCCGCACCTTTTTTTTTCAGGCATCATATCTCAGTACTACTGTAATAAGCACTTTGTGGTGAGTACTGGCAGTTTTAAAAATAAAATCTGTGGTGTGTATTTCCATTGTTTTTCCATCCCAAAAAAATTAAAAAAGCATTGAATGGAAATGACCACCCTACCTCATTTGCTGTGGCCTGAAATTAAAAAAAAAAATTAAAAGCTAAAGACAAAGGGACCAAATCTATTGCACTAGGTTTTATCCAGGGCTTTTTTTTTCCTGACGGCATGCAACACCTGCACTTTTTTCAGATGTAATTTGTTTTACCTGGTAATCGTTTTGTGGTACCCCAATCTAACTGTGCTATATGGCTAAAAGGTTTAATAGGGTTTCCTTGATTTGTACGTGTTTGTACATCACTGAGATGTTAATCTTATAGGCTGCAATCCTTCTTCTTCTTTTCCCTTTTCTGCCTTTCTATCCCCCAGTGGAGCCGAGGCCCTCAATCAACTCACGCCAAGTTGTTCTATTCTTCACTATTTCAGGCAGCTCTTCCCATGTCCTCCCCATCTTTTTAACATTTTCTCCAGCTCCCTTTTCCGTGTGTTTTTTGTCTTCATTTGTCCCTGAGGGTTTCAGTGCAAAGACATTCTTCGCCTGAATTTAGAATACTTTTACCTGCCCCTGTCCATCTAGTTTCACATAATTCCAAAATACTTTAATGTTTCATTTCCCTTAATACTTTCATTGTTCTTCCTACATCGCGCAAAGTTCTAACATTCAAAGTGCTAATTCTGGAGGTTTTTCTAGACAAAAGGAGGTACGCCAAGGAGGACTGCAATCCTAGAGGGGGAAACTACTTTAAATTCCAATGGCTGTATTTTCTATGGGACTTCCTTATATTTGATCTATATTTATCTTTTGTTAACATTGTTCAACCACATCTTTGTGTTTGAATTTGGACAGCTTGTGCAACATATCACCTGTACCATGAGAAACTCCGACGCTTCAATGCTGACATGAGATCACGTGGACTTGTACCACCTGTTGCCACATCAAGATTGGTCAAAGACAGCCAAATTATTTTTCATTTGCAGGTTTGTCATGCATTTTAATCCATCTCCTTAAGAATATATGGTTTCGATGGCTGAAATGAAATGAGGTTAGACATTAATGTGACTCTTTGACTGAATACGTTTAAATATATAATGATCGTCTGTAACTAGGGTTTAATTTTTGCGGTCAACGATTTGTTTACATTTTTTCTTGAGGTTTTTGGATACTAGTACGAGAGTCACACTTGTGGAAGAGACTGGGGCTTTACCACATAAGTAAAGTAAAGTACCCTTTTCACGCCTTTCGGCGCATCGGGCATATGGGCAGAGCGTCCCATAATTTTACAGACCATCAGCACTCTGTGGGTAATGTGGTCAGCATTACGCCGGCCTTTACCACATAACATTTATCTAAAGACAGCACTGTAGCCAACCTGCACATAATTTTAGACAGAATTGTGACAGAAAGTTGAGACAAGGTCTTAGTTTGAAAAGCCCCATGAGCCCCGCCCGCTGAAAAATTCATTCTTTGTCGCGATGCCGCTGTCCCCATGTGGGTTCTGGGGGTTCTAGTGGGGCTAAAAGGGAGGGGGGGGGGAAGGGTGGAGAGAATAGGCCCAGTGCTCCCCAGCAAGCATGTCATAACAGGTGACTAATTAGAAGTTTGCTAAAATAAGAAGTTTGAGCCAACCGCCCTTTTAAGGGTAAATACATAAAAAGAAAAGTAACAATCAATTGGATCTAAAATGTTAATTGTTTGATGAAAAGCATTGTCATGTTCAAACTAATTGCTTTGAAATTCTTGATAGGTCCATGCTGTGTGGTGTTGGTAGTCACGTCTATACACAACCGTCTGTCATGTGTACTTTCAATCAATTCTGATACAGATGTTCTTTCATGCCATGATATCAAACTGTCCAGCATCTTCTTTCTTGGCCGACCTCTGCCTTATTTCCCATCCAAGTTTCCCACCGTCACAATGTACACCAGGTTACTCCTCTTCATGACATGACCATAGAATGTAGACTGTCTCCTTCTGCTGAGGCAACAAGCTGTCTTCTTGACCCAGTTTCTTTCAAGTATCTTCATTATTTTTTTTTAAACCTGTCAAGTGTGTTCTTAACATTCGTCTCTAAATCACATCTGCCCCTTCCAAACAGTGAGCAGAATGAGTTAAATATTTACTTCATTTATAAATGACACAATCATTTTTTACAATTTAATGGCTTGACTATCCCAGGATATGTTGACAGAGGAGGGCAAGGAGCAGCCTCCAACCATCTCTGCCACCAGAGATGATGCATTTCCCATGAAAACTCCAGTGGAAAATCATGCGGACACTGACACCAATTTGACCACAAGTACAGCAAACATCAAGACTGAGGCAAAAACAAGTACCGAAAAAAGAAACAGTAAGTCAATAAAACTTGCACTTTTTAAATTTTATTCTGATAATCAAATTGGCAATCAGTATGATTATCAGTACCTGGTCATTCCTGCTTAAATGGATTCTTTCTGACTTCTTTCAGTGAAAAGTATAGATGTACATCCTGTAGAGAACACCACAAACCAGCTCCAGCATTTTTTGACTGTTTCTAGTTTTTGGCTAGGTAGCTTTATGTTCAGTAGTTTGTCATTGCTTTCTGAATGTTGACTTTCACACTGCTTGCAGCTGAACTGAGATCTAGGATAATGGAATTATGAAACTGCATTCATAACTTTCAGGGGTTATGTTGAAAGGCTTTTTAAATGTGACAGCTGGGTCTGTGAACTAGCAACTATACATCATGGTCTGCCCAGGGTTCAAACATATTTCTTGTGCTATTCATTGTCTACAGTGCGAGAATCACTGGTGTGTAGATCACAGAACAAGTGAGGACACTATCACTGATGAGTACCAGCAGGGCAAATAACAGGAGCAGGTTGTAGAAGATGTGCAGTCAGAACTTGAAGTGCTAATGCAAGGGAAGCAGAAGCAACTGGTCAACCAAACGAAGGCAGCTGTACTACTGTATGAAATGTCCCTTTCAAACTGCATCAGCTTTCACATAAATAAATTCATACATTAATACCGGTAGAAGTTTACGTTTTGATAGCTGAGAATTCTCAGAAACATTCTTAGAATACCCCGTACTGAGCAGACGAAAAATCTGATATTGTACATGATCTGATGATCATCAAGGAGAAGTGGCTAATAAACAGCACCCTGCACCCAAAAGCTGAGGTATTTTGGTCATGTTAAACACTATGGTGGCCTAGAGAAAACTGTGATGGAGGGTACAATTTCTGGAACACAAGGCAGAGGCAGACCTCCACGAATGTGAAAATAAGACATTAAAGATGCACTGGCTATGAAAGCACATAGCGCTGGAGAATTGGCTCGAGAGAGAGAGGCGTTCAGGCCATGAGGAGAGCTATGTTCTGAAAGGACCTGCTAACTGATGATGAGCTGGGAATTCTTTGATGGTGAGGCAATAATTCATATAGATCTATGTGTCTGTCTGACACATGTGAAGCCTTTATGACTCAGGTTGCTGGAAGAGCTGTGCAGGAAAACTGTGATACTTTGACTGTGGGGGTCATGGTAGAACTGAAGCAACAAACTGGTTGCAGACACAGACTTTCACCAGGCAGGCTTTCTCTGTGAATGTGCTCAGGAAGATGTGGAGAGGCTGGACTAAGATGGTGGAGTTTCTGAAGTGATCATGGCTGACAAAAATCAGTTTCATTTTTGTGTTTTGTGCCAGGGTATAAACTCTGACCCACACAATCCAATATCCTCGAGCTCAGAGTGGCCCTTCCAACTCCACCCTTTTTTTTTCTGCCTACACTGTCGGCGTCTGTAGCTTACCCGTTGCGAACACACTTTTTAGTGCTGGGTTCAATCCCAGCTGCACGTCTTGCGCTGATTTTAACAGTGGTATTGAGAAGCCAGAAAGCAATGGCAAACTACTGGACATAATTTGCCTAGAAAAACCACAACAGCCAAAAAATGCTTGGGTTGGTTCTGCAACATCCAGTAAAGGATCCGCAAATAACACTGCAAAAGTGTTATGTACAGGCAGTTATAGAAATAGCCAGGGTATTTTATTGGGGAAAAAAAAGCTGATATAATTTCAGGAGAGCGACAGTGGAAAGTGGACATGACCTCAACAAAAGCACTACAGTCTTCCTTCACAGCTGTGCCAACATTACACTGTCCTCCTGTGTGTACATATAACTACATGTCTGCACACATGATATATGTCTGTACACAAAAACTACATATCTTCCAGTGTGTACACATAACTACATGTCTGCACACATGCCCACATGTCAGTGAACACAATATATGTATGTCTGTACAAACTACATGTCTTCCTGTGCTTACACCTAACTACATGTATTCCTGTGTGTACATTTGACTACATGTCTTCTTGTGTGTACACCCAACTACATGTCTTCCTGTGTGTACATTTGACTACATGTCTTCTTGTGTGTACACCCAACTACATGTCTTCCTGTGTGTACATTTGACTACATGTCTTCTTGTGTGTACACCCAACTACATGTCTTCCTGTGTGTACATTTGACTACATGTCTTCTTGTGTGTATACCCAACTACATGTCTTCCTGTGTGTACAAACAATAATTTGTGATATTACCCCATTAATATTTCCACAGAAGACCTTAGTACTGACAGAAAAGTGAGCAGAAACACAACTTTCCGTTATGACCTGATGAAGTTTAACAGCAATGGAATGTGCGACCAACCATCACCAGATATCACGCTTCTCAACAACAGTAATCCTTCACCCAATGCACTAAGGCACACATCTCAAGGAGGGAGAGAGGCACTCCCTCTGGTCAGATCCTCACAGGAAATGATCGCACCAAGGAATTCTGGTCAGCTAAGTACAGAAAATATTTGCACAACAAAGCTGATCCATAATAGAAGAGCCAACCCAGACAAGAATGACACTGAGAGTATGAAAGACAAGTTTAATTTTGCCTATATTCAGTTCCAGTCAAAGAAAACTGTTTCCTCACCAAGAGAATTTCAGTATCCATCAAGACAGGTTAAACACGAAGCAGTCAATCTGGTGTCTGAAGAGAATCTAAGTTACAACTCTGAAGTGACACATGACTCTAAGTTGAAGTTTAACAGTATTGACTCTGAGCAGTATCATAATAACAGCCTGTTAAAAGATAACATTAGTAATCTGGAAAATGTGCAACCTAATCAATCACGGAGATATATTCAAAACAATCGCTTACTTACACGGCGAGGTATCATCAAGACAATTGATCTCAATGCATCTAGCATTCCTGATGATAAGAATCATGTGTCAACACTGAATGGAGGGTTTCAGAACTATAAGTTAATCAGGCATTCTTCACCTGCGGCAAATAAAACAACACCCAAGCAAATTAAACCTTTCCATAGTGCACATGAGCGGCCCAAGCTATCAGAGACCTGTCCACCACATTTCCTGAAAAAGTCCCAGAAAGCCAAATGTTCAGAATCTATGATTCTACATGGCAAAAACCTATTAAACACAGCTTACAGTGAGGATTTTGCATCCTCACCTAAACAGTGTACTCAACTCTTCTTATGATGCAGCTAAAATCTGGCACAGAAGAAATCGGAAGGTTAACGTCTTCTCTTCCTTCTATATCTCCACACATTGCCAGATAAAATAAGTCACAACTAGAGAACTGACCAACACATTAAACATGAGAGCTGCCAGTTGTTATGTGTACTCATCTCTTCTTATGGGAAAAACACACAATACAAGCAGTAAGCACAGAGAAATCTCTGAAGAGTGGTTGATAGAGAACAGGGAAAAAAGGGTTGCTGCCTAGGAAATGAAAAAAAGATAAAAAAAAAAAAAACAGCTGCAGGAAATGAAAAAAAAAAAAAAAACAACAGAGAAGTGAAATGTTTCAGCCATATTAAAAACTGAAAAACTCTTATAAAATGATACTGGAGGAAAAAGTTGAAGGCAGGCAAGGGAACAAGAGGTAGACAAGTGGAATTATAAAATTAAGGAAAAGCAACCAAGTGTACATACAAGACAGACAGACAGACCATGTTGGCATTCCATTACACTTTCAGTATAGGGTAATCACTGAGGACCAAGTGTGCTAGTAGTTTATTACATCCAAAGGTGCTAAATGCACACTTCCTGTAGGAAATAAATGCCCCGTCGGGGTGCATTACTATGCCTGATTTCTACTTCTCCGTGTTCACCGTCTGTAAACTCTAAATGTGGCATCCGCAAATGTATGACGGGCATTCAGAAAGTACTTCTTTTTCTCAGCAAATAATGAAAATGGAAATTTTGCATTCTTCAAATTAGCTGTATTGAACACACACACACACAAAAGGCACTGCATTCAAGAAAGAATAAAAATTGCTGCACTAAATAGTTAAAATGGTTTGCAAGGACAGGGTGCACTTCTTCATAAAGTCCATGCCATGTGGCATGTTGGTAGACATATCTAGCCACAACCTTCTGTCTTGTGTACTTGATGGTTCTCCATGTCATGATGTCAAACTGTCCAGCCTTTTTTTCTCTCAGTCCTCCTCTACCTCCCCTCCCCTCCAACTTTCCTACTGTCAAGATGTACTCCAGTTTTCTCCTTCTCATCACATCACCAAATAATGTAGATTGTCTCTTTCTGATGTGGGCAATCAGGTATCTCTGTGAGTCAGTTTCTTTCAAAACATCTTCATTACTCGTTTTATCTGTCCAGAGTATTCTTGTCAGGGTGCACTGTAAACAGTTAAATGTTATAGAATTTCTGACCGCTTAAAAAAACAAACTGATGAACATTCCTAAACATCTGTGTGCTGTTTATAGAAGTTGTGCGGTCACTAAGATTACTGTTGATGGCAGGCTTCAGAGTGTTAAAGCTTCAGAAAGTGGAAAGATGGACCTGAGGATGTTATTCACGCTGTGAAGAAATGGCTACATGAACAAGACAAAATTTGATACAGGTGAGGTGTGCATACTATAGTTTTGTGTTGAAAGTGGACACAGGTGACTTAAACAAAGTAGGATGTGTCAATAATATAATAGGTATTTTGACAGTGAATTTTATACATTTTCACAAACAGTTTGTGAGGAAGAATAACGAGGGGCATTACTTTCTGAATGCCCCTCATACACATCACAGTGTCTGATACAATTGAGGAATATCCAGTCATACATGGTACATTGTGTGGTACAGAAAGAGTTAAGTCACTGAAGAATTCACCAAGTTATTTGGTTAGAATAAAAGCAATGTATCCAAAATGCAATTCTTTACAGTAATAGAAACACTGAAGCTAGAACATAATGCAGACCAGCAAATCATTGGACAGACCAGCACAAAGTTGCTATCACATCACTATATTTTTTGTTTCACAACAAATTTGTTCTGACTTTTCAACATGTAAGTTGCCAGAAGATCAGTATTCAATGCAGTATTGTTCAAGCATGTTGCCAGTTCTCTGCGGTTTGAATGTATTTAACCAGTATGTGATTTATAAATCTTTCGGACAATCCTTGTAATTGTGAAGGCTAGCAAGTTTTCTACCAACCGATTCTTCTTTTCACTTATGAAATTAGTACAGAAAGAACACCTTTTTTATAAGTACTTTATATGACGCGCACAAAAAAGGCTTGTTCCAGTTATCTCTTGCCCGGGCGTGGCGAGGCATTACATAAGTAGGGAAAAGAAGAAAGAAGAATGCTTTTAAAAAAAAAATTCACTAAGCAGGCTAATAGTAGTGGGGAGGCACAATAAATTCATTTGTGTAAGCATTAGCAGTAACAATTATACTAGAGAGAGTATTACGTGATTATTTTTCTACTCGTCCCATCGGTGCTGAGAGTATGTCTGTGCAGCTAGCACTGTAATACTAATAACTGATAGCTTTCGCATGTTACAGTTTCTGCATCAGTGGCATAAGCACTCAGCGAGCGGTCTTTTCACTATGTTCGAGACATAAACTGAGTGGCGTATGTGTAAGTAGTAGAATAATAATTTTTTTTCGGCCATGAAAATTGTAAGCGGTGACTACAGCAATTACATGCATGCCTTACTACTGGCTAAAAGTCTGTTTTACTACACAAGAAAGCAAGGCTTGAGTGTGGCAAAACATAAAATTCATGGGTCATTCTCTCCAACCCATGTAATGTAGCGAGAACACACTAAAGAGAAATCTGGCAACACACGTTTTCACTTAAGCAACTGTAAATATACACTTGTGATATTGTTGTTCTTATCAGTATTTCCCTCACCGAGCAGTAGCTGTGATTTTCTGGGGCTGAAAGAGTACCTACTGAGGATTTAGCCCACCCCCTTCCCTCTCCTAACTTTATTTCTCTCACATAGTTGTGATATGTGAAACTAAGTGACTGAGTACAGGAATGGTGTTTGTTGTTATAATGTAAAGGAATATGTTAACATGAACTGGAGTTGTCAGGACATAATGGTTAGTACACATACCTCTTGAGAGAGTGGTCTGGGTTCAATTCTCAGCAAAAGGATTTGTTTCTGACCACTATAGCTCTGGGGTTGATACCATCTGATAAAAACTGGTGCTGGACAACTTTCAGTTTCCTGGGAGCTGGCAGGAAGCAAACATGATGACAAAGAAAAATGGCGACCCCCCACCCCCTCCGCTTGTGTGTCATATATATGACACCTTAATGCTGTATACAACAAAGACAATAATGCTACAGGAGTACATTATCTATTAATTAAAATGTGTTTTTCATGCTGTAGGTACAGGTTGATCCCTCCAATGAAACATTTTTTAAAATGTAGATGTGAGTATGTGGTGTACACATGTGTTGATTATGTGAAAGCTAATGTGATAATTTTTTTAATGTGTGTCTTAAGAGTTTTTGTTAATTTTTTATTGTTTAGAGAGCATCATTAACTATTCTTGTCACAATTAATTTTTTTGTAAACTTATTACTACATCCATTTTGGTATTTTGGCAATACAGTTTTTGATACCATGAGAAATCATGTTTCTGCTTGAGCTTTTTAAAGAGATGGGTGGATGATGTATGCAAGCAATTTTTGTTTTGTTTACCTAGCCTACGTGATGAAATGCTCATGGCGATTAGGTTTTAGAAATGTGGAACTAAGGCACAATATTATAATCTGTCAAATTCTTTAAGAAATATAAGATGATAGAGAGACTGATACATTGTAGCCAGTAGAATGAAATCAAACTGTTTTCGGCATACAGCACAAACAATGTATCACTCAGACAACCATGTGTGTTTAGATTAACCCCCCCCCCCCCCCCCCCCCTAATATATAAGTATAAATCCTAGCTTCTTGCTTGAAAGAAAAAGAGACAAAGGTTAAATAAAACAGTGGTTACAGTATCTAAGTATGTTGTCAAGGTAAAACAAAACTGTAAACTGTGCAGAAGTTAGCAACCTGTGGTCTTCTTTTAAAGCAAGACAGAGGAACTCACTGCAAACAGATACAGATATATATTTCTTTTCAAGTTTGGTATGATACTAGGACCAGTTACTGTTGCCAAGCATTAGTAATAAGTTGGAAATTTATAGGAAGAGGCATTTTCAAGAGTGAAGAGATTATACTAGAAAAAAGAAATTTATATGTATTATTACTGGCAATTTTTCCATAATAACTGGAATAATAATGACAGGAAATTCACTAGTGTTAATATCATATGCTCAGAGAAAGAACTGGGGTACAGTAGGTGGAAAATACAAAATGGTCATGATTATGCACCTTGGTAACAGTTTTTGCTTTCACATAAAGTTTGTATGCAGTCGAGGATTAAGTGCTTCAGGCAACCTCTACCAGTAAGGCTCCAGTGTACTGTCCTGGGTTACTGCATCCATTAATTTCCCTAGAAAAAGAATTAGGGTTTTCATAGGCTCATTCATAGCCTAGCTCTGAGACATGAGCTCCACAGCTTAACAATTACAGGCAGGGGGATTTTTCAAGGTATACACATCTACATTCAAGTTTTAACAAATAACCTGTATCCTTTTACTTTTTTAGTGCAAGTGAGATATTTGGAAGCTGTCTAATCATAAGATCAAAAGCTTTAGGCACCCCCCCCCCCCCCCCAATGGTCTCTTCTTTTCACTGCCAAGGATTGAATCATTTTCCAGATATTACAGCATCTTACTGGAGACTTTTGTCACACAGGCATTCCACATGTTGACCTTTGACAATGGCATTCACTTACTGAAACTTACAACATTCACAATGAAAGGTCCTTCCTTTGAAGACATTTTTGGTGGTTTTCTTGTCTGTTTTCATGCATCGAGCATACGAGGGGATCCATTTACATTTGCATTCTATAGAAAGTTGATTATTATATCAGAATTTACAACTAAATTTTCCGCCAAATATTTATTAGTATTAGGTTTGATATTGAGTCCCTTGGCTTTTATATAATGCTGGTGTCTTGTGGTGTTGACATGGGATTTGTTGACCGAAGGAAAATGTTTTGGCTTGGATAGTGTAAAGATGCCATGGATTATCTGTTGGCATTCTGGCAGAACTATTATCTCCTCTATCCTCTCTGCTCCATATTCAGTGAAAATATTTATTTTTCATGGCAGCTGACATTGTCTCCTTCAGCGGCTCAGTCAAAAATATTTTTTTTCCAACCCCACACATGGGTGGACACTTCCAGGTAAATTTAGCACTGCAAAAGATAAATGTGAAGTATGGCAGCAAACTATGAAAATGATCAACTATGTAGATAGTGGCTTTTCAGTCATGAGTTTCTGCCTATAAGCTATTGAAGTCAGATAATACCTCTTAAAAGGGGCAGGTGTGAGTCCCCCAGTCTCTTGATATGAGGGTATCCTAAAGCAAATTTCATAAGCCTTTTCCCACAAAGACAAACAATTTCAAATTTCACCTTTTATTTTTCTAGCCAAAGTTTTCTGCAAATCTCAGACACTTATCTAGACAGATATTTATTTAATTTCTTTCCTCAATGAACTGAGTAAACGGAAAACTCATTGACACTACTAAGAGGTTCTGAGAACACACAGCCTCTTGGTTTGATGCTGGACAACTATCACCAACAAACAAATTGATTGAGCTTTTGCTTTATTCAGTGATTACAATCTTCTTTGCATTTTGCTCCTAAGCAATTCGAATTCTCTCTCCCTGCTAAACTTTTCTCCTTCTATGGCTCCTCACTTTTCTTTTTTCATCTCTCTCTTTCCCACCTGATTATCTCAATATGTCAATCATAAATTTGCAGTTCCTTTTCTTGATATCCATTATCATAAGCAGAGAACTAGAATATAGTTTCATAATTTTGAAAGGTGAGTAAGAGAATGCTCTAATATGGGGTAGAGGGCACAAGAAGAACAATGAATATTTGATTCCTGTACTCTTCCAACTCTGTCTATTTTCTGAACTGGTCTACCAATGAAAACCCTGTTCTGTAAATTCTGGTTTTTTAGAAAATGTTCTGAGAAGCTCAAGAAACAAAGTGTAAGAAAATGTATGAAGAAAAATATCTGTGAAGATCATTAATAACAAAAAAAGCTGGCTCTGTTAAAACATAAAGCCTAAACTCACATGTCCATATTAGAAAACAATTCAAAGTCTTCTATTTTTTTTATTGTAGAATATAAGTAATAACACATTCTCTAAATGTACTGCTCTATCTACGCTCTGTGTACACATACACAGGTTCTAAACTCTTTAACTCACAACTAGGGCTGTACCAAATAATGGACCTAATAACTATTCGGTATTCGGCCAAATACTTGCAGTCGGGCCGAATACAAATAGTGATTACCTTTCAAAACAATTTCTTGAGGCCTCAGAGATGTGGTTTTACAGAACAATGCTTAAAATACCTTAGACAGCCACAAAAAAAGCAACCAAGAGGTTTTGAAAGAGGCGGGAGCCTGAAGACAACTAATCACAGACATCATAAGGAGACAGTCATCATATTTCGGCCATATTAAGAGAAGAGGGAAAATGGAACATGTGGTGACCACTGGAAAGATCTGTGCAAGGAGGGATAGAGGAAGACAACTAGAGAAGATTCCTGACAGTCTTGTTGCATGGCATGGAGGTGTGTCAGCACACAAATACATGCTGCAGGAGAACGTAGATTGTGACGAGGCATAATCGCCCACGCCAGTCGGCAAGGCACCTGATGATGATGATACACTATTCGTATTTGTATTCGTATTTGGACGAATAGTTGGTCCCGCTATTCGTATTCGGCAGAATAGTGAAAATCACTATTCGGTGCAGCCCTACTCACAACACTCCTGTACATATATTAGCTAAAACATATTGGTTTACGAATTTCAACAACTATAGACTACATCAACATTCAACGATCAACCTTAAAACCTTGCTAGTCTGCCACTTAGTTTTCCATACCAGATGTTTTTCAATACAAAATTACTACCACCAGCACCCATCTATGATTTTGTATGTAAATTAGGACTCTTGCCTCAACTTTATTCATCACAAGCAATCCATTCAACAATTTCTGAACCCGAGACACTGAAAACCACCTCATATATCAGGCGTAAATATATTTTCATATACACAGCAGCATAGCAGACAGTACAGCCATCTTGTATCATGCATCACTAAAACAAATTCTAATAAATCTAAATCTATGAGTGAGGAAAAATATGTTAATGGTGTACCGTACACACACTGAGAAAATCCAATAAAATAACTATAACGTCTTTTCCCTTGAATCTTACACAGCCAATGAAATAAATGGAGACAACAAAATACATGAAGAAGAGAAGTAGACTGAGGTGAATATGATAGGGAGGTAGAACATGGTTTAAGCAGCATGTGATGACAAAACAGGATGACTTGGTCGAGAGCCTAGGCACTAGGGCTATTCAACTGAAGTTTACTCAGGGGACAGAACAGTGAAAATGTGGACTATTACAAGCCAAAGTCCTCAGTCCCAGTGCAGAAAGATCATTATTACAAACACAACTGGCAATGATTTGCAGGCCACTTGCTAGGCTTTTGCAGGCCAAATTCAGCCCGGTGGTTGCCAGCTGAATAGCCCTGCTCTACACTACTGGAAAATAAAGAGCAGAAGTTAGGGGATCAATAAAACGGTGCTTTTCTAACAAGTATCAATATAGGGTTAAACTGGAACTATGTTACCTGGCTATAACTGTTAGCAATGATGACAGGATATGCTAATCTTCTTCTTCTTCGCGTTCACCAGCTGTACACTCTGGCGGAAAGTTCTGGTTGTTCGTCCACACCTGGACTGCAGTCCTGCTCCAGAACCTGGGTGTTGCGTGTGCATCAGTTTTACAGATCTGATTCACTTGAATGCAGACTGTTGGTTTCTTGCCTCTCAGGCAGATGCACTCCGACTTCAAAGGAAGCTACCAATTAGTCGACTCTTACGACATGCTTTTTGGTAGGCAGTGGGTCTATTCTTGTTTTCCCCCCACAATGGGGCCCCGGATCCCACACAGGGATGGATATGCTAATGATCTTCTTCTTCTTCTCTTTCACCTTGTACCTCAGTCAAGTGTCGGGGGGGAGATGTAATGTTCGTTGACGAGCATTGTCAAGAGCACTATTAAGACTGATGTTCACTTCTGTAAGGCTGTTCTTAATGCCATCACTCCATATTTTCTGAAGTCTTCCACTCGCTCTATACCTGTTGTAACGTTTTAGTGGGGCTCGTTGTGGCAGATAGTACCAGGGAATTCTTGTTTTAGAATAGATGTTTTAGAAATAGGGAAAATAGAGGCCAGCAGAAGGTTAAGACCAGGGTAGGGATAATCAATATATGTGGATTGGGCAATAAAGCAGAACAAGTGATAGAATTAATGGTGAAATATAATGCTAATGATCAAAGGTTGTTTTCATAGTAACCTCACATGTACAGGTGACGTTTTATTTTTCACCTGTGACAAATTCCCTAACTTTACATGGAAATAATTAAACCAGTCTCTTAAAATGAAAGCTTCATATTCAAACAGTCTGACCAACTGCATCTAATATCAATTAAAAATGTAAGAAAAAGTGCTTACATAAGCAACATTTAAAATCTGAAATATAACAACAGAACATGAGCAGATGCTTCCTTTCTATAAGCACTCAATAAGCACTCACATCTTGTTTAAACACATCCTGGCTTACAGTTGATCAAAGTGATGACCTCAGGACTGGAGTTTCACATGTATTAAATTATGCAGCATGTCAAATGAGTTACCATCAGGCTGGACACTAATGACACCATCAGAAGTGCGCACTGACAAAAATCCATAATCATCAAGTCCCACAATGACCCCTTCTGTAGCCTTGTCCAACTGTATATTCACCTTGCAGTTTCTGTCATCAGAGAATAGAGTTATATGTGATTACTACACAACTGGAACAAACAACACAAATACCTTATAGGCTATAAACAAATATACATAGAGGTTATGAATGCAGTTTTGTCATTCTGACACAGCGGGTTTGATCCTGCTGCTCCGAGTTAATTGTGTGCCAAAGGCATTAACTCCTGAACGTAAAATTACTTGGTTAAACCCACAAACAGTTACAAAGGCTAAAGTTAGTTTCTCTTCTTCTATTTTTGGGTTGCTGCTTATGCCATAAAGTGCTGCAGAGAGAAGTTATATAAAGTTTCCTGTCTTTTGCTAGTTAATGTCATATCGTGTTCCTTTAGAGCGTCTTTTACTCCATCCACCCATCTCTTTCTTGGTCAGCCTCTTGTCTTGTAGCCTGTTCTCATGCAGTACGCTCTAGCTGCTGGCTAATTTTGTTTCATTCTGACCAGGTGACCTAACCATTTGATTTCGTGATGTAATCATTTACCAGTAATGTGCCTACCACTGTTAGTGAAATTCACAATTTCTACTATTTGCCCTAAGCTAGAAGTTTTTGAATGTCGGAAAAGATTGTGTGCTGTATATATTGCTCCCAAATATGATATTGCTTTTTCCTTCTTCTTATCACGAGCAAATGCGTTCAAACAATTAAATCCTTTAATGGCTTGCTAGGCCTGTCCTAGAACCATTTCTAACTGCACAATTGATCTAACAGTAACACTATTCAAAGCACACAAAGAAAAGGTTTGTGATGTACTATAAAGGATATGCAACAAATGTCAAATGGGTGAAAATGCATACTGAACAAATACAGTTTGCTTACTTGGAAGCATTTTGGACTGAATATGTCATGCAATAATGAAGATTAATTAAAAATCAAATCAGCATTAACAGCATGTACATAACATTCCAAAATGAAGTCAAAATCTAGTTTCCAACCATTAGGCAGAATGTGCATATGGTGCTAGATCTATATCTTTTAACATGTGCTACTAAATGAGTAATGAAGTATTATGTTTCCCGCCTTCAACATTTGAGAAATGTTTGTGATACCCATGATAACAATCACATAGACGTATCACTTAAGCCCACAACAGAAGCAAACAACAGCAAAATCGTCATTTAAACCATGAATGATCTATCAACTATAGGAGACTCATCATCATTATCATGGATTGTGCTGGTCAGCCTAGGCTGTCAAGCTTTGCCATCTCAGGTGTTCAGCAGCAACACAGATCAGGTCAGTGTCTTGCCTCACCCCATCCCTATGGCCAAGCCATCCAGGTATTTATCTCTTTGCCTTCCTCTTGTTATCTCTCCATCAGTCTTGCCAGTTGTTACCAGTTCTTGAGTCCAGTTCTTCTTATAACATCTCTGAAAACCAGACTGTCTTGTCTAATCTGTTTATGACTTCCAACTGTCTTGAGGAAGACTGTCTTGTCTAATCTGTTTATGACTTCCAACTGTCTTGAGCAAGACTGTCTTGTCTAATCTGTTTATGACTTCCAACTGTCTTGAGCAAGACTGTCTTGTCTAATCAGTTTATGACTTCCAACTGTCTTGAGCAAGACTGTCTTGTCTAATCAGTTTATGACTTCCAACTGTCTTGAGCAAGACTGTCTTGTCTAATCTGTTTATGACTTCCAACTGCCTTGATTAAGACTCTCATTTGTCACCTTGACAGCATTCCATAACATTCTGTGCATTCTTCAAAACAAAACAAAACAAACAATCTCAGTGGCAGGTGAATGTTTTTCAATTTGTCTGCTTATTGTCAAAGACTCATTTGCATATAACTACATAGTTCTATACATCATTTTAACCCACTTTTTTTATTCTTACTATAGTTGCAGTCTTATTGGTATCTATTGCATCATGCTAAAAGCCATTTTTTTCATGGTGATTCTTGTTCTAATTTCCGCAAGACTAGTATTAGATGTTATGCTGTTCCAAGATTGTATTTATTCATCTATTTAAGAAGTTTGTGTGTGTGTATGTATTTCACACGTTGATATTCCTTTCTTCCTGGTGGTGAATATAACTTCTGTTTTCTTACAATTTTACTCTAAGCCCAGGTGTTCATTATGAATAATTACTTCATCAACTGAACACTGCAGATGCTTTTCATTGTCTGCAATCAACACTGTTGTATTATCTGCATACCTTATACTGTTGATATAACATCCTTCCATGTCAATGTAGTCTGCGTCTTTTAAATGTCTCATAATATTTCATAATACAAAGAAAACACATCTGGAGGCATTACACACCCCTGTCGCAAACCTCTCATGATTGGATGGTACAGGTCTACTTCAGTATCGTCACTTCAAGCCACTAAAATAGCATAAATCACACTGAGGTCGACACAGCTTTCAATTTTTATGTTGTCTAGTGTGTCCTTTTATCTATATTTTTATTCTCTACTTCTACAAGTGCTGTGGATTGATTTCTTCCCATAACTTACCATGCATTTCATAAGAGATAACTGAGAAGGAACAGGAGGAGGAGGGAGGGTAGGTGGAGGAGGGAAAAGAAGAAAAAGAGGAAGAAGAAGAAGAGGAAGAAGAAGGAGGATGTTCAGCTACCAATTAGTAATGCAACAAAACTAACATTCCAGCACTCACCCATGCAACCAGTGTTTATAATACTCATTACAAAAACCTTGATGGCCATCTTTCTCAAAGTTTTGAATCAGATTTTCTAAGCAGGTCACTGTTCGAGCAATTAAATGACTTGAGGTCAAAGGTGGAAGTTCAGGAAGATGAGGATTGGAAATATTTCTCAGTCTGATGATGTCATTTATGCAAATTGTAGGGTTGCTGTTGCTGACATTGAATCCACATCCTAAATTCAAATGTATAAACAGTATTTTTTTTAAATCTTAATCCAAATATACATTCTAAATTCCAACATATAATAAATGGTTTTTGAAACATTAAAAAACTAAAATCCACATCCTGAATTCACATGTAATAACAAATCTGTAAAACATTAAAATCAAATCCACATCCGGAATTAAAACAATATATAAGTTTAAATCAAACTGAATCCATGTTTGAATTTCAAAATATATTAAATGCTTTTGAAAACCTAAATCCACATCTTAAATATCAACATATTGAAAAAAAAAAAAAAAAAAAACTTTCATGAAAACCGAGTTGAGATACTGAATTCAAGGAAATATGAAATGACATTAAAAGCAAAAGCCACATAATTACTTCTAAAATATAAATCTTCTTCTTCAGCAGCAAGCGCAGAGTTCCAATTCCAGTGATACCAATAGCACAACTACTGTATATCCATGTCGCCTTTCCTGTGAGTGCTAATCGTCAACCAAATCCCCTGGTCATTCCTCGCATTCCATCATCAATGTATGATGCTGGAATCAGTACTATTCAGGGATCTGACCAATACAGAATTTCAAATTTTTCCTACATCACAAACTAAACTGAACTATCAAACATGTGACTGCAGAATTATCTGAACTAAATGGTTAATTATACCTGACTCAGCTATCAACTATCTCAAAATATTTCTCATGGCTAAGCTATTCAGTACTAAAGAATTAAAATGTCCACTGTTTGAAACAGACTTTCATTTCTCCCAAAGAAGCAGACTCTCATCTTCCCCTGTAGAAGCAGACACTCATTTTCCCCCATAGAACAGACTCTCATCGTCCCCTATAGAAGCAGACTCTCATCTTCCCCTAAAGAAGCAGACACTCATCTTTCCATACAGAAGCAGACTCTCATCTTCCCCTATAGAAGAAGACTCTCATCTTCCCTTATAGAAGCAGACACTCATCTTTCCTTATAGAAGCAGACTCTCATCTTCTCCTATAGAAGCAGACATTCATCTTTCCATATAGAAGCAGACTCTCATCTTCCCCTATAGAAGATGACTCTCATCTTCCCCTATAGAAGCAGACACTCATCTTTCCTTATAGAAGCAGACTCTCATCTTCTCCTATAGAAGCAGACACTCATCTTTCCATATAGAAGCAGACTCTCATCTTCCCTTATAGAAGCACTCTCATCTTTCCCTATAGAAGCAGACTCTCATCTTACCCTACAGAAGCACTCTCATCTTTCCCTATAGAAGGAGACTCATCTTTCCCTATAGAAGCACTTTCATCTTTCCCAAAAGAAGCAGACTCTCATCTTCTCCTATAGAAGCACTCTCATCTTTCCCTATAGAACCAGACTCTCATCTTTCCCTATAGAACCAGACTCTCATCTTTCCCTATAGAACTAGACTCTCATCTTCCTCTACAGAAACAGATATATTTTCTACAAAAACAGAGCTCATCTATTTCTACAGAAGTTTAGTTCCTCATTCATCTTCTACAGAAGCTGAACTCTTATCTTCCTCTACAGAAAGAGAAGATTAATTATTTCCGTAACAGAGCAGAACTCAATCATCCTCTTTTGAAGCAGAGCTCGATCATCCTCTAACAAAGCAGAACTTTAATCATCATCTACAGAAGAAGAATTTCAATCATCGTCTACAGAGATCTTATTTACATATGCTGAAACAGACCCATTATCTTCTACAGAAACAGAAGTCCACTTTCCTCTCAAGAAAAATAGCTCATCTTCCTTTAGAAAAGCAGAACTATCTTCCCAGACAATCTAGCCAGGGATGTCAAGCTAAAAAGAAAAAAAAAACTTTACTTATTTACTTAGTCGTTCCTCTTCTACCCTGAGATGTAGAGTTTGCCAGAGAGATCGCCAGACTTCTCTTTCAGCAGTTTTCTTTCTGGCTTTGTTCTGTTCCAGTCCTCTGTCAGTCAGGGACTGACGGATGTTGTCTTCCCAGTGAACCCTGAGTCACCTGGGAGGTCTGGTTCCCTGGTTCTTATTCTCCCATGCCTGCCACAGTGACCGATTTTCTCCCATTCTGCATAAATGCCCAAAACCTCTAACTGTGACTGATCCACTTGGGTTTGTAAGCCTGGGTTTTAAGATCTTGACATATTGTCTGGTTGTGGACTTTGTTCCTTCTTATCACTTGAACCATCTTTCTCAGATATCTCATTTCTGCGGCCAGAAGCCGGCATCTGTGAGCTGTGGTTACTGCCCATGATTCACACCCATAGGTCAGGACTGGCATACAGGTAAATTGGTAAACACCCATTTTTCGTCCTCTTGCAAATTTCTCCTTTGCTAAGAAACCCTCAGTTTGTGACCTGGAAGAGTCTCCCATCAGCTGCTTTTCATATAGCCAGCTCAGTCTTGATGCCTCCGTTTGGTCTATTACAATTATAAGATATTTGAACTGGTTGACCTGCTCCAATGCATACTGTTCCATTGTGATCTGGTGTTTCTTCTCCTCTCCTGAGATCACCATGCTTTTTTTTTGGGAGAATGTGATGGCCATCCATCTCTTTTTAAGCTCTTCCTTCCAGACAAGTAAGTTGGATTGAAAGTGTACCTCCGATTTAGCTATCAGGGCTGCATCGTCTACAAATACCAGCTCTGATATACAGATCAGTCTCATCTTCCAGTACCCTACTGATTACTTCTTTGTCTTTAAAAAAAAAAAAATTTATCTGAAAATGAGTAGAAATGGCAACCTAATGACAAGGTTTCTGACAGATAAAGCTTGTATGTACATACCAATGGTTGCATAAATTCTGGTATCTACCACAGTTGAGGTGACAAGAACACCTCCAAGTTTCATCTCTTTCCCATAGTAAATATCATTTGGCCACTTCAGCCTGATGTCCAAATCCTGTTAAAACAACAACAACAAAAAACCTGTTCAAGTTTTCTGTCCAATTTAAGAAGACATTTATTATTTTACATTCTGTACGTAATATTCCTGCACAGAATCCCTAAAGTGAAAAATAAAATAAAAATAAAGAACATGGTTTTCTTCCAAATTCATCAGCATATGTTGGACGGCGTTTTTAATGCTGACCACATTACTCACCTATATACCCGATGTGCCTAAAGGCGTGAAAAGGGATCTTTACTTTACTTTGCTTTTTAATAACATCAGCGGGGAAGCTCTGAGGGATAGGCTTTTTCTTTCTGTGTTAGCACGCCTGGGTGAGAGGGTAAAAGGCACCCCAGTTTACTTTCTTTCCTTCATAAAACACAGCGTGGTCCAGGCAAACAGCAAGTACTTCATATCATTCTGTTATTTATATTTAAAAAAAAACTGGTTTAGAAAATATTTGAATAACATAATGCAGTTTTTTTACATTTAGTTAATTTTGTGTGTGCTGTGTCTGGTTTCTCGTTGTCATTCTGCTCATCAAGGCAAATTGCTGCAACATCAATTGTTTGTTTATTGTTAATGGTTCCGAAAGCTCACATAAACTTTGTTGTTCTAATCTTTTTCCATTTTATAATATCTGTGGAGAGGCATATTAGGACCAGGTGATGATTCAGAATAACATAAACAGACTGGCTGGAATTAAAAATAAATTAATAAAGCACGATCTATGATAGGGAGACTCAACAGGAAAAAAAAAAGAAGACACCTACAGGTTCAACCAAAGTCTTTATCAATAAATAAAACAACAATGTGATGAAAATGTGATGACACACTTCAGAGTATGAGAAGAGTTTAGGATAAATGCTTAGTTAGCACAAATTATGTGTAAGAGGCTAGGGCTTAATAAGGCCACGGGCCAGGAAAGAAAATCACGAGGTTTAGCGTCTCTGCCGTAAAACATGAGAATAAATGAGCGATGCTAGGCCAATGCTTGGGATTGAACACATGATTAGATCTCTGAGAGAACTAAGAATCATTCTGTGTTTTGCAATTGGACGAGTTGAGCGGAGGAATGAGCGTATGTGAACCAGAGAGCTGGATCAACCCAAGCAGCATGTTTCAACGGGAACCTGAACCTGCCAGCTATTGTCTGTGAAGTTTGTGTGCATGAAAGGACATTCTGTCATGTGAATAATTAACTAAGAGCTGTTTGGTATTTGTGTTGAATGTTCTCTTCATGACACCCTAGATAACAGATAGCAACAGGTGATAGGCGACAGTACCCAGACTGGAAAAGCAAATAAATGACTGGGATTTAAGACTCCTATTCTACCCCATTGATTGTTGAGTCCTGAGTGTGGTTTGCCACAGCTGCTGCATCTACTTGGCAAATTGTAGTCCCAGCCCTCTGCAGTGTTACTTAGCCATCCTTAAGAAGTCAATTAAAAACATGAATCATGCACCAAAAGAAATAAAATAGAAATGGGACAAACAGGAACCAAAAGAGGGGAAAAAATACAAATCTGGGATAAGGTCGAGGACTTTAATGTTTCCTCAATGAGTTTTACATAACCAAATAATTCAACATATGTAACAATAATAACCTAGGAACACTACAGACGACACCTGCCTCATATCCAGGGAGGGTTACAACACTCTGAACCACAGCTACAGACACGATGTGTTGTAGGAATGACACTCGCTGGCCCAGCTGACTCTCCAGACTGAGGCTCAAGGGAAGTGTGAACATTGCACATCCAATGGGGCTTAGCCAGGAATTACCTAGCCTACCTGTATTTTGAGAAGAGGAAAAAGTACTGTTCGACTTTTTTCAAGTACATTAACAAAATAACATGCAAGGAATAACAATAAATTTCTATACATATTAGGTATAGGTCTTTTCCATCTGTTTATCTCAAAAGAGTTAATTAAAGCTAGCCAAGAGGGTTATCCCACACTGCAGAACATCTAGCCACTAACGCAAACAAAGTACAAACTCTGGAGCTCTTATGATAATCATGGTAAAAACGACATTCATTAAATGAACAATGCATCTGTGAATGAATCTACAGCCTTTCGAGTGTGAGACAAATGGGATCTGGCACTTTGAAACAGAGAGCCCCCTTATCTCCAATCTCTAAAGGACAACAGAGATTAGACCCTCAATCGACTCATGCCAACCCTTATCTTTTGCTCTCTCCTGCTGCTCCTTCGACCGCCCTTTTCACATTAAAGTGGTACCTTGGTTTATATCCTTGATGTGTTCCAGATCCTTCGACTTATACCCAACAACTGTAGCCCAAACAAATTTGTGCAAAGTATATAACGGGAAAATGATGAATCCATATCCATGAAAAAATTATATTGTTATTGGCCTATTACCCACTGATAGGGTTGTATAAAATAATTTACATACTGCTAAATACTAAAATACATCAATACCAAAGTTGTCAGATGAAATAAATGAAAACGTAACCTCCCTTTATCTAGCTAACAAGAGTCGAGGATCTACTAGGATCGGGCAGAAAAATGGAAAATGAGATGTTATGTTTTGAAGTGACGTTCCATCTAATAATACTTAAAGAATCTGAAATTTTTGTTTTTTTAAAATCTTTTTTTTTCTTCTGCCCCTCTCTAATTAGACCTGGTTGAGGCTCACAAGTTCTAACAATTGAGTAATATTCCAACCAAAACTGTTTGCGTCTCAACAGGATGTTTACCACTTATTAGGAAAGTGGAGACACATACACAGTATTCTACTGTCTCTAATTCTTGCCTCTATGTATGCTTCAGGTCTTACGTTTCCTCTTCTGCCAGGTGAATTTTGAGAGGAAGAACTTTTTACTTAGGCTGTTAACAAATATTCTTAATGTGTCCTCTATCCAGCACAATATTTTCCTCACCTCTTGATTCACTGGGGTTTGTTCAGTTTGACCCGTGAGCTCTACATTACTGACATTATTATACTATGTTATTTCCTACATTCTAAGCAAGCACCAGTTAATGGGGAACCATGGTGGCATAGCAGCTAGATGCTCCTCTGCCGACCTGAAGGTCTTGGATTCAAATCTGCAACAAGTCGGATTCCTCCTCCCATTCCCCCAAATTACCTTGGCTCTCAGGTCAACCCAGCCTACAATGAGTACCAGGTAAAGACCTGGGAAGCAAAGGTGGCCAGTGTGATGTTGACCACTCAGCCATCAAGTACTGATTGGTGTACAACACATGAGCCTAGCACCATATACCCGATATGCCACCAGCATGAAAATGGTGCTTTCTTTTACTTACCAGTTATTCGTTGATTTTAATTTACGACTGTTTTAGTCATCTTTCACGCTGCTGATCAACACGGAACAACTGATTTAACATTAGATTTGAACTTTCCAAGTTTACAACTAAGTTTATTGCCCTTCTGACTGACTTTCACTTTTCCCTGTAAGCCACTCTCGCCCTCTGCATTTGAAAAAAATAACTATATGCTGCGCATACCGTGAACAGCCAGAGTAACTAACAATAACTGCTTGGGAATGGCTAATAAAATTTGAAAATTATAAACAACTAAAAGATAGAGGCAGTCAGTGTTCTTCAGTCACATGATATGAGAACAGAGTTATTGAAGAAAATTACGATGACTAGAGAAACGATGCTAGATTGCCTGAAGTGATCTCATTAAGGTAAATAAATCATCAGTGGAATTGATTCACAATACCAAGGATCAAGTTTATTAAGAGACATGAACACCTACGTTGCCACGCAGGGCATATGATGATGATCATTGGTTTCCTTACCTGAAAATAAGACCTACCCCAAAAACAACATTTTACTAGATGCTGTTAATGTTAAGCCCTGCATCACAAATAAGTCCTAGTTAGGATCATCAGCTAAAATGAGAGACTTGGTGCAGAATCACCAGTCGGACAGATGCTACTAGTGCACACTTGATAAAGTACAGATGTCAACAGGAAGTCACAAGAAATTCAAGATTCAGAGTTAATGATGTTCCAAGAGAAGACAACATGACTGTATTCAAATAAATGAAGCTTTCTGTGCATGAATATCTTATATCTTAAAAATATAATCCCTTGAAAAAAGCCCCAGTGCCAAATAATCCAATATTCTTACTTTTGGTTAACCTCAGTTTCTCTTTCCTTCTAACTTTCCTACTATTATCTTGTACTAGATTTTTCCCCCTTCTCACAACATGTCAAAAAATTTGGACTCTTCTGATGTAGCTAGTTTGTTTTCTTTGCGAATTAACTTCTTTTAAGGCATCTTTATTATGTTTTATACATGTCTATAGTGTTCTCATCATTATTTTATAAAACCACATTTCTGCACTTCTACATACTTTTAGATTAACCACATTCTGACTGTTCATAATTTACTTGCACATATGAAGCTGGCTACATACATTCAACCTAGAATTCAGGGTACTCAGATTGAACAGGTAAACTTGTGGGGGTCAAAAGAAATTAAAACTAATAATAAACTTACAATTATAAATTGTTATGTCATATCAGTACTGCTGTGTGGAAGACACACTGAGAACAACTAAGGCGATTACTAATAAATTACAAATATTCGTTAACAAGGTGCCTGCACAGAATAGAGAGAATTAAAAGGTTTGATAGAATCGCTAATGTTCATCTGTGAGAGAGAACAAAACAAGTTCCAGTGGACCAAGAGGTGAGGAAAAGATGCTGGCATTGGATAGGACACAAGTTCAGAAAACCTGAGAAAAGTATAACTAGAATGTCTTTGCACTGGAACCTAGAGAGGCACAAAAATAAAGGCAGACAAAAAAACACATGGAGAAGTTAGCTAAAGAGTGATATTAAAAAGAGGGGGAGGACATGTGGAGAGCTGCATGCTATGCAGAAGGATAGAACGACTTGGTCTGAGGGCCTAAGCTCCACTAGGAGATAGAAGACAGATGAAGAAGACATTTAACACACATACACACACAAATTAAAATGCTAATAACCTCTTCCACTTGTCTGTCTCCCGGCCACCGCAATAAGTCCAACATTCTCCGGAATAGAGAACTGAAGCCCGTCAAAGACGGGCATTGTGGAAGTGATGACGTCTGTGTAAAACAGCACCTGGCCGAGTGTCAGGGTATTCAGATGCTTCCAGTAAGTCTGAGGGTTGAAGTACTCGGTGTGAGCATCATATTCAAAGTCTGTGACAACAGGCAACAGTGTTGGCGTAGATTCTGCCTGAGTTGGTGATGACGGTAAAAACTTCAGATTCAGCTTCTGAGATCTTAAAATGTTGTCTTTTAATCGGTGCTTGAATGATTCCAAGAAGGATTCTTTAAGACCCTGAGAGAACAAATGACAGCAGTGTGAACGAATATAAACAACCTACCTAAATTCTCAAATGAAATGCTTTTTTCAGACTACTTATGTTAAATCAGTTGTATTAACTAATTCCATTACAAACCACTGCTTTATTTTTTTTTGTCCTAAAGAGTTATATTTTGGACTCTTTTATGCCAATGCTTGTCAGAAGAGCTGCCTGGTACTGAAAAGGTTGAGAATATAATTAATACTTCATTTATACATGTTACATTAAGGGTGCTCTAATTAGTAGAAAGGGGTATCTTGGATTTGTACTGCTGGATTCCCATCCAGAATGGAGCTCTTTGAGTTGCTAAAGATTCAAAACGTTCTTGCTGTTTGCATCATAGCTAAGGGCAATGCTTTGGAAAGTCTCTCACTGCTTCTCTTTAAATTAACCCCACAATCTGCATTTATTTTAAACATATACAAAATTTCTGACTCATCCTTGTGTAAATACAAGGGAAAGATAATGTATTCCTTCTACCTATCTACCTAATCTGTTTGTCTGTCTATCTATTTATAATCTTTCTCTGCCTGATAATGTTACGTTTTGCAGGCACAGATAATGATTGATTTCCTGGATAGTGCACGCTCGTTAGTGTGCTGGATGGTGATATTGGTAAGTTTTAGCAAATTTTTAACTCCATCTATCCATTTTCTTCTCAGCCTTCCTCTACCTCTTGATGTTTCCATTTTTATGTTGTATGCTATCACAACCAATGACGCTGGATTCATTCTGACTACACAGCCAAACTATTTCAATCTTTTAGGAAACTGTATTAAAGTTAAAAAAAAAATCTTTACCACACGCTGGGCAAGAAGGAAACATGGAGTAAGTGCAGGAATGGTGCCAGAGCTGGTATCAATCCCCAAGGAAGCTAAAATGTCACGAAGGATGGCAAGCCTGTCAGCATTCGAGTTCTTCAGTGCTGTGAATGACTCCTGGTCTTTGGCATATTCTGTAGGGTCCCTTTCCAACAACAACTGGTAAGAGAAAATACAAACAGTTTATGACCACAACATGTTGTGTTTAGTGCAGGAGTAGTTTAACTCGTTAAGTACCAGGAATATTTAGCTGAACATTAGAAGGTAACAATAGGGATAATGCTTGTAAAAAATGTGTGACATCGTAACTTTCAGATACAGCAACTCATGTACCAAGTTGTTTGTTTGCATTCACTGGCTGTAACCAACCCGACAGAAAGACTGGTTGTTTGTCCATTTCTGAATTTGGCTTTGTTCTGGGACCTGAGTTTTGCATGTGCATCCGTTTTACAGATCTTGCTTATTTGTATGCGGACTGTTGGTTCCTTGCTGCACAGCCAGATGCACTCAGACTTTGAAGGAAGTCCCCAATTAGTCGACTCTAATGACATACATGTTGGGAAGGCAGGGGGTCTATTCTTGTTTTCCCCACATTGGGATCCCGGAACCCGCATGGGGAATATATTTACCAAGTTGAGTACTGAGTGTATTAGAATAACTAGTCAGGTTCCTACAGCATGATTAGGCTAAACAGCAGTCACACTGTTTGTTGTTTGGTACTTATGGTAAATACTAGATCACGTATGGTGCATTGGTTGGAACTGAAAAAGTTAAAGGTTTAAAGCCAAGACACTATTGCACTAGATTTTATTCTATATGGCTCAATCTCTCTCCACAGAATGGTTTGTCATTTGCAAAAAATGCAGCACAAAGAAAAAAAATCAGTTGCTCTAGTCCCAGAGATCTCTGTAAAAATCACCTCTGTGAACTAAATGCTGCAGTGAGTAAAACAAACTCATCAGCTTCAGAGTATGAGGTAAGTGATTTAACTACTGAGCCAAAGAGACCCTGGGACAAATTTTATAAAGGGTCTCCTCAACTTACAACAGAGATCAGTTCCGACTAACAGGTAGTAGGTATATCTTTCAACAACGTTTTTATTCAACCCCGTTATAAAAATTGTACATAAAACACAAAAATCATATCCGTCTGTATAATTATTGTACATAATGAGAAAAATACATAATATGTATTCTATTTTACATACTGTAAAAAAAAAATACAACCTAAAATTACTAAATTTATTAAATGTTAATTTTTTGTGTGGTTGTAAGTACAGAAGGTCATCAGTCACATGGGTGATAAGTCGAGCAAAAAGTGTAAAGCCACTGAAGCAGATAATAAACTGTGGCTATAGAAATATGACACAAATCTCACACTACAGATTTATTACATAAGTGTAATCTATATTGTATGCTGATGATAGATTCCATACTCACAACTGTCACTAGTTATGATGAACACAAATGTAGAAAGACAATTTTAAAAAAATGCTGTTGCTTTCAATAGAACTGCTGCTATCATTCTTCTTCTTCTTCATGTTCACCAGCTGTAAACTCAGGCAGAAAGGTCTGGTTGTTCATCCATGTTCCAGAGCCTGAGTGCAAACCTGTTTTACAGATCTGACTTATTTGTATAAAAACTGCTTCCAATTAGTTGACACTTATGACATGCTTGTTGGGGAGGCAATGGGTCTATTCTTGTTTTCCCCACAATGGGGCCCCGGAACCCACACAGGGAGTAATCATTCACAACAGTAGCCATCATGTGAACTGCAATAATGTAGTTATTTATCAGAACAGCAGAAAAAACATACATTATGGCAACTACCACTTAGAATGGCAACTGTCACCTGGAATGGCAAACAGTTCTTGAAACACCAGTTTCACCGATATTCAGAGAATCACTCAGAATGGCAACTACCATTAGGAATGGCAACTACCACTAAACTGGTAGGTATCTTATAGAATGCAGCTATCACTCACAATGGCAATTACCACTTAATAGGTAGGTATAATTTAGAATGCAACTATCAATCAGAATGGCAAATATGATTAAACTGTACCATTAAATTGGTAGGTATAATTTAGAATGCAGCTATCAATCAGAATGGCAAATATAATTAAAATGTACCATTAAATCGGTAGGTATCATTTAAAATGCAGCTATTACTCACAATGGTAATTACCACTAAACTGGCAGGTATCATTTAGACTGCAACTATCATTCACAATGGCAATTACCACTAAATTGGTAGGTATTCACAAATCAATCAGTCAAGCAAAAACTAGTGTGGGGGGTGGGGGAGGAGGACATGAAAGCCTAGCAAAGTGGGAAAACAGTGCTGCTAATTATTCTAGTTGGTGTGTCTAGCTCTGCTGCCATGGCAGCTTTAGGAATAATTTGAGTTTAAAAAAGTTACATGGATGTATGCCACATGTACATCTGGTTCAGCCCCTCCTCGCTGTATCATTCTTTCCAGGTATGGATTTTCAGTATCTTCCATTTCACATGTTACCCTGTTGCACAAGTCTGTGATCACCACTGAATACGAAAAGTAAAATTACCTCCTATTGATCAACAGTGACTAGATGCAGTAAAGCAAACCAAGTATTGGGACAGCTAGCTCCCCCTCTTACAGCATAAGACAATCCCAATCAGCACAAAGAGACATCTTATTCAAAGCATATTTATTCCAACTATGTGCTACCAGTGCTAGACATGGTCACTCACAACAAACCATAAAAGAAAATTAGTAACCATGGAGATGAGATATCTGAGAAGGGCTGTAGGAGTGACCATAAGAGATAAGATCAGGAATGAGATCATAAGAGAAAAAGTCTGCACAGAAACAATTCTAAATTACATACGAAGACAGCAGGTGAAATGGTTTGCCCACTTAGAGAGAATGTCTTGTGACACCATACCATACAAAGCATACATGGAAAGAGAAAAAGGACGTAGAGCACGAGGTAGACCAAGAACAACATGGAAGGATAACATCAGAGAAACTCTACAACAGCATGATGTGTCTATGGTCAAAGCGGCCAGAAAAGCTAGAGACAGAACCTTTTATCTCCCTCGACACCCACAGCGGTAAAAGAGGAAGTGAAGAAGAAGAAGAAGAAGAAGATCAACAGTGAATATGTCTCTGCTCTTACTGTGAAAGACATTTCAGCTTAGACTGATATAATTAATGGTCTTGAAAGAGGGTTTAAATGTGAAAGAAATGACTTCACTGCAACAAATTTTATTCAATATGGCTCAATCTTCATAGAGCAGCTGGCCACCTGTTGACAATGTCACACAAAGCATGAACTCTGCAGCCTCAGCAGTGACCCCCCCCCCCAGTATCTCCAACACACTTTCACTTGGGAACCAAATGTCCACTAGAGTTTGCCTCAAACAGCTTAATCACTTTGCAGCAAAGACACCCATTGACCTCTGAACCCACTCTAGGACAGATGATAACGCGATTCTTTTTCAGCAATAACAAACAATCAACAATAAAACAATAAAATGGCTTTTTAAGGAATAGTATGCATTTTAAGCAAATATTTAAGTAGCAACCCATACCTGAGAAAGCACTGTAATACCACCACCTTCACAGTACACCTTCACTACCAATGCTCCATTGGGAACTGGGCTGCTTGCTACTCGAGTGTCTTCTACCTGTTTACTCTCCTGCTCTGTAAGATTATTTTGTGCTGCACAGAAATTATGTGGGACTATTACTTGTGCATTTCCTTTCAGATCACTGTAAGAAAATCGGCCTCGAACAGAAGTGATATACTGTCCATCTCTATAATCAAACTTAATCAGCCTTTCTCCATCAATCCCTTCTTCCTCTACTTTCTCAACAAATACAGACTCCACAGAACTGTTGAAGCTGAGAAGTTTTCCATGATCCTTCAAGACAAAGTTTCTAATTTCATCTTCTACTTCTGGTCTTAGATGGGCACAGGACGAAACCAACAGGAGAGCTGCATTATGTCTCCACGGCGCCGACAATACTGCATCATGTTTCAGGTGGTATATAGTGTGAGCTTCAGTGTTGATACAAGCCTCCAGACTGGACTTTACTTCTGCAAACTTTCGATCTGAATCTTTGATACCACAGTAAACAAGAATATTTGGAGGCTTCATACGAGAGCCTGATAAACCATCTTGCCCATTGCTCTCCCCAGAAAAAGATTCAGTTTTCAGCTGGGTGTCATTAGATACCAGACTCTGATTTGCTTGCTGTTTGATTGCTGTGGCATTGACTTTGGTCGTCTGTTCAACAAGAAATTTTTCTGTATGATCTAACTGACAATTGTTGCTGGAAGAAACCTCAGACTGACTGTCAGAGATGTGATTGCTGACTGCTGCTAAATTACTTTCTGTAGTAATGTGTGATGACTCTAGCTGACTCTTCTGTTTACTGCTTACTGACTGTGTATAACAGCTCTCTATAAATTAAAATTCAATATTGATTATTAAAATAAAAATTGCAAAAATTAAGAAACAAAATATTGATTTCTCTTCTTCTACCCATTCATCAGCTGTAAACTCAGGTGGAAAGTCCTGATTGTTCATCCACCTCTCGACTTTAGTCTTGTTCCAGAACCTGAGTGCTGTGTGCAGATCCATATTTCAGATCCAGCTAATTTGTATGCAGACAGTTGTTTCCTTGCCTCTCAGGCAGATGCACTCCAACTTGGAGGAACCCCCACTCAGTCGACTCTTACAACATGCTCTTTGGGGAGAGGGTGGATCTATTCTTGTTTTTCACACGATGTGGCCCTGAACCCCACATGGGGAAAATACTGATTTTAAAATACAACAGGCTGTGCATTGTTCATCACTTTAAACAACAAAAATATTGATTTATTGTTATAGGAAATTACAAAAATGGAAATGGAAATTGTGAGCAAAAAGAAACAATTCATAGATATAAATCTACACAAGGATCATTGCTGTGGATCAGATCCCCCCCCCCCCACCCCTCTCTTTGGACTAGCCACACACACACACAAATGGGTATTCTTGAAAGAAACAGTCAGGAGTGGCTTTGGTTTTTGACACTCGTACGTGGCAGAAGAAAACCCATACAGAGAAGACATACTCTGCATTAACAGCGTCTCATTTAAAATCTGAAATTTGTGAACTACAGGTTTCTGTCGGGCCTACGTATGCTGCCATACTCTGATCCACAATTTTAATTTAATTATCTGAAAAACATTTTAATACTTCTTCTTCTTTGTGTTCACCAGCTGTAAAACTCTGGTGGAAAGTTCTGGTTGTTTGTCCACTTCTGGACTGCAGTGCAGTCCTGTTCCAGAACCTGAGTGTTGCGTGTGCATACATTTGACAGATCTGACTCATTTGTATGCAGACTGCTGGTTCCTTGCCTCTCAGGCAGATGCACTCCGACTCTAAAGGAAGCTACCAAACAGTTGACTCTTACGACATGCTTTTGGGTAGGCAGTGGGTCTATTCTTGTTTTCCCCACAATAGGGCCCCTACCCAAACGGGGGATTTTAATACTGTTTCCGAGGTAAATAAAAACATTAATCACCAGAAATAATTTCACAATGGGCACTAGGCTCCACGCAGACGCAGTAGTGTATGGCCAGATGCTTGACTGTAAACCCAAATGTCTTGCATTCTCTGTTGGTACTCACCACAAGGTGTTTAATAAAACCTGTCAGTATGCACCACAAAGTGTCTATACTATGTGCATTCCAGGGTCCCGGTGTGTGGAGGAATGGGGATGTGAGGGGGAAGGGGAGGGGGAAGACCCACTGCCTCTCTAACAAGCATGTCCTAAGAGTTGACTAATTAGGGGTTTCCTTTGAAGACAACGCAACTACATGAGAGAAGAAACAACAGTATATGTTCCACACACACACAAAAACCACATGTAAAAAAAAAAAATATTTGAACACAAAAACTCAAGTTTTGGAAGAAGGCTAAAGTCTAGAAATGGACGAATAATCAAAACTTTCCACCAGAGTTAACAGCCGGTGAACATAAAGAATGTATGTCCTGTTCTGAATAAGGGCCAAAAATGGAACAATCTGTAATTTAACAAGGAAGGGGAAACAAGTCTTTTGTTCTGTAAACTGATTTTTAGGCAGCTTTTACTAACTTGATAATTAACCCTTTCAGTCACAGAAGATTTAGAGAGTATGACAATAACTACACTGAAAAAGAGGGAGTTTCTCTTTCAAAGAGGCAGCAGTTAGAATACTGGTTAATTAAATACCTTGCCAGTTTTTGCTAGCATGCTTAGACCAAATGCAAATGGTATTATAGCAAATTATCTATTGCTTGATATGAACAGGCAATTGTGGCTCCCACAATGTGCGCTGACTGGGACAGAAAGTGTTAGGTAAACAGTCAAGTCAAAGTAAATATTGACTTGCATGCAATTAATATATGACAATCAGGGTGACCCAGGGTTTGCTTGGAAGACAAAATTCGACAGTCCCTGACTGACAGGGACTGGAATGGAACAAAGCTAAAAAGAAAACTGAAGACAGAGAAATCTGGCGATCTCTCTGACAAACCTTCATGCAGAGTAGTAAGCATGAATACAGAGGTCCCAGGCAGTTAGCGGCCTTTGGATATTTTCTCCAGGTTATGCTGGTGTTTTGGGAAATGAGCAGGCAGATAGACTTACTGGTGAATTGATGTATAAGAAGCTAGATACTGTGAGGGCTCTTTGGAAGTGAGTAAACAGTGCGGAGGCACAGATATATCATTACGGTCTGAGGAGAATAGTGCTGCGAGGAGTTACTAGGGGATCTGGTCTTGCTCAACACTCAAGGGAAAGGTGAGATGCATATACAATCAGACAATTACTGGTAACATTGGAACTGAAACTCTTCACCTGCTGCTGAAGATGGGGACAGAGCCCTTATGGAAGTGTCCTAAGTGCTATAATGTTGATTCCTAATTCAACAACCAACAATCTGGCAAACCTCTACACCTTAAAGTAGAAGAGGACTGACTCAGTGAGCAAGTACATATGATAATCAACATCTTAAGTAGACATTATCGCAACAATTAGGTTCATCATAATCCTGTGTCTTCCAATAAGCAGAGGCTGTCATGTTTCACCATAACACACGATTAGGTCTGTATTCTTGTCTCTCATTTGGCCAAGCTTTCGATTTATTTATCTTTTTGCCTCACTTTGCCTTTTTTTTAAACATCAATCTTGCCAGTTATCACCAGATTTTGAGTCCATTCCTGCTCATAAAATGACCAAACAAATGTATATGTCCAATTTATCTGATCAATTAAAAATTTAACTAGATACACACAGGCAACTCAATAGTCTACTAAGCAACTGAATAATGGATTGGAAAAAAAAAAGGAAAAGAAACAATACCAGTTTTCATTTAATATATAACAAATAAATAGCAGAATCAACAAACCTCCATTAAGTTTCAATTGCTCATTAACAGGTTCATTCTGGATTGTGTTTGAAATTAGGTCATCATCACTTATGACTCCAAACGGAGGGACCAAGATCTGTGGAGTGCCTTGGGTTTTTACAGCTGTAATGACAGAAAAGATGTGAATAAAACTTACATCTTAAATGTGCTTAGAATTCTGAAAAGCTGTATGCATGTTCCAGTTGTGCTAAAATACATAAATAATTAAGCAATCAACAAAATAGCATTTCGGGCAAACCCACACATGCCTTATTTGTGTTCTATAGACCTTATATATTATACATATCTTCTGAATATTTAAAAAAAAAGTTTTACATCAACTTATGTAAAATTCATAACCTTAGCCAGAGTGCAAGTCAAAAGGGATGAATTTAACAAGAGAGCTATATAGAGCGGGTCAATAAATGACAGTAAATCAACACAGAACTGGTGTCTGAAACAGTTGTGTTTTCTGAACAAGTATTTTTTTTTAAAAAACAAATCAAAACTTTCAGCTTCTAAACAGAACCTCAGTTCCTAAACAACCAATCGCAAAACAATGTAGTTTAAGGGATAAGACTGCGGTGAAAGATCAAGTTTCACTCAGCGCAGACCATTGAATGTGCAGTATTTTCTTTGACAATGCTCCTGCTCAACATCAACTTGGTCCTGGTAGAGAAATTTGATTTTTATCTAGGTGAAGTTCTTTCTCCCTAACAGATATAACTTATGGAGTGAATTGTTCCACATGTTGTGAGGATGATCTATCAACGAACATTAACTTACTTGCAAGTCCAATAAGCTCTAGGTCCTCATCCAGTGTTATCTTGTTTTGGCCAAAAGCATCGGAAATAGCCACTAAACCTGCAAAAGTGCAGTGCAGGATAATACCAAACGGCTCCGCTGTTTTCCAGGCCACCGGGCATCCGAGGGACAAGACCTGAAACATTAATTTTCTGTCAGGTCAAAGGCGAGAGCTATAGCAGCTCAGTGCACGGATGCTAGAGATATCTCTTGAAATTATTCTTACATTTGTATAGCTGCCTAGCTGTTGCTCATTTGCCTTAAGTGTTTCTCTCCAGTATGACATTCCCCCCGTGTGGGTCTGGGACCCTATTATAGGGAAAACAAGAATAGACCCACTTCTTCTTCTTCTTCTTCTTCTTCACTTCCTCTTTTACCGCTGTGGGTGTCGAGGGAGATATAAGGTTCTGTTTCTGGCTCTTCTGGCCGCCTCGACCATAGGCACATCATGCTGTTGTAGAGCTTCTCTGATGTTATCATTCCATCTTGTTCTTGGTCTACCTCTTGCTCTACATCCTTCTTCTCTTTCCATGTATGTTTTGTATGGTATGGTGACACAAGGCATTCTCTCTAAGTGGGCAAACCATTTCACTTGCTGTCTTTGTATGTAATTTAGAATTGGTTCTGTGCGACTTTTTCTCTTATGATCTCATTCCAGATCTTTTCTCTTATGGTCACTCCTACAGCCCTTCTCAGACATCTCATTTCCATGGTTACTAATTTTCTTTTATGGTTTGTTGTGAGGGACCGTGTCTGGCACTGGTAACACAGAGTTGGAATAAATATGCTTTGAATAAGATGTCTCTTTGTGCTGATTGGGATTGTCTTATGCTGTAAAGGGGGGGGGGGGGGGGGGGGGGGGGGGGGGGGGGGGGGGGGGGGCGGTAGCTGTCCCAATACTTGGTTTGCTTTACTGCATCTAATGTTAATTTCTTTATTCAATTTCCCATCTTCGGTAAATGTAGTTCCAAGATATTTCCCAGATAGACCCACTGCCTACCCAAAAGCATGTTGTAAGAGTCGATTAATTGGGAGCTTCCTCTGAAGTCGGAGTGCATCTGCCCAAGAGGCAAGGAACCAACAGTCTACATACAAATGTGTCAGATCTGTCAAATGGATGCACACACAACACTCAGGTTCTGGAACAGGACTGTAGTCCAGAAGTGGATGAACAGCCAGAACTTTCCACCAGAGTTTACAGCTGGTGAACGCCAAGAAGAAGGATGACATTTCTTTCAATTTGGCTGAAAATTTTCACTTGTAACTTTATCAATTCTTTAAACAACTTTCCTTTTCTTCCAAGTCCCTCCAAAACCTCTATTCAACTTTCTAAATGCTTTTCATTGTCCTATTTCCCTGCATAATATAGTAATACCTAACATTTGACAATTCTAATTCTTGATGTGTTGTTTATTTCTCTTAAGTTTAGTAAATTAGTCACAACCTAACACTCCAATAATTACACACAGCCTTGCAAATAAATTAGTAATTGCCGGTAGTGCAATCTCATTGTCATCATCATCATCAGTTTCCACTTCTGCTGTTGAGCAGTGTGGGGAGGAAAAGTTTGCGATCCATTGCTTGATGGGCAGCAATGGCTACTGTCATTCTGTGTCGATGTAGAAGCTCTTTAATGTCATCAATCCATATTCTCCTAGCACGGCCTCTTGCTTTCACTTCAGATCCTTTCATGTATAGCGCCTGCACTGGTAGTTCTGGATGCATTCTTACTAAATGAGGAAGCCATTTGAACTTCTGTTTCTCAATGAATTTGCTGCATGGTGTTGTTCCCACAGTCTGTCTGATAATATCATTTTTAACTTTGCCTTGGATGGTTAGGTTGGCAGCTTTTCTCAGGCATCTTATTTCACAGGTGTTAACTTTACGTAGGTTAGTATTTGATAATGTCCAAGTCTGGCATTGGTAGCACAGTGTTGGTATGAATATGCTGTTTATAATCTGTTTCTTGGCACTTATACTTATGTTTGGATGTCTTAATAAGGGCGTCACTTGGTATATAAGTGCACTGGCTCGTTGGCATCTTATTTCTATTTCCCGATCTATTCTCCCATCCTCCGAAAATATATTTCCTAAATATTTAAATTCTGTAACTGGCTTCAGGCAGGTACCAATCAACATGATACATAGCGGACTAGGAACTCTGCTGACCTGCATTAGTTCAGTTTTTGTAGTATTTATTTTCATGTTATATCAGCTGCATCTGCAACTGAGCCTGTTCTGTTCTTGAAGTCTACTCCCCTCATTGTAGAGCAGGCATTGATCGTCTGCAAATAGTAGCTCATTTATTGTATTTGGATCTAATTCTTCCTCTGGAAAGCAAAGTTCCTCATTTTCTGGATTTTCTTGGTCGACTGTTTTACAGCTGGCTTTTCTGGATATTCTACCTATGCATATTTTAAATAAGAAAGGAGAAAGCACTCATCACTGCCTCAAGTGAATTACTGCAGTGTCAAAGGTACAGTGGCAGTATGATTGTGTTCATCTTGCCTTTCCTCTGATGTTGAGTGTTGGTTAGATTTTCTAGTTACTACTGCACAATGCACCATTGTCTCTAGACTGTGATAATATATTTGTGCTTGCCCATTGCTCACTTGTTCCCAAAAGACCTTAACATAATCAAGCCAAAATAATTTGTAATTTAACAAGGAGGGCGATACAATGGGATACAATCTTTTGTTCTGTAAACTGACTTTTAGGCACCTTATATTTGATAATTAACTAGATTTATCAAAGGATATTGAAAACAGTGGGAGTTTTTAACTTTAAAATAGGCAACAGTTACAATGCTGCTTATTTAAATTTGTTTGCACCAGCCAGTTTGCTTGGTATTTGTGTGTCCTCAACTTTTGTACAGAATTCAGAAATATATAAAAAAAAAAAAAAAGATCTAAAGGCCACTTTTGAAGCAATGCTTGCATTATTTAACCTCTGTATTGCTAAAGACCTAGACCCTATAATACCAGGCATTTATCAGCAAAAGTACACTACAATACACAAATGCACATTCATATGTCTTCATACACACTTACGTGAACTCTTTGTGTCGGAGGTATTCTAAGATTGTTGTCAACAAACTTAGAGAGGTCAGGGGGCCTCCTTGCTTCCATCAGTACATAAATATTCTGGCTAGTGTCTGGTACACAGCTGTGAACTTGTAAATACGAGGTATAGGCGGTCCACGAACTCAGATCCACCTCTTGCTGCAAAAGAATAAACATAACTAATGCTATAAAGTTACATCATTAAAACAGAAACATCACAAATGGAAATCACCTGGAAAAGTATGAGGTCTGAAAAATGTACTCTTGAAATTTATTAAACAAAACTGTTTGGTGTGTGTGTGTTTTCTTTTAAATTTTAATTTCTACACATGTAAGGTAGGTATCATTCAAATCCCCACTGGGGCAGATTTTGTCAAGTGACCGTGACTTTTAAGTTGACCCAGCCTAGAATGGGTAGAAGGTAATGTTCTGGGAAGCAAAGGTGACTAGCTTGATGTTGATCACATACCCGACCGAGTGCTGATAGGTCTATAAAAATATGAGTCATGCATCAAATGCAAGAAGCTTAATTAATCTGCATATTTGCTAGACACCCGCTTGCCAACTAAAGGTTCTTGGGTTCTAATGCACATGAAGGTAGATTCTGACAACTGACTTTAGGCTTCCAGGTTAATCCAACTTAAAACTAGTACAAGAAATGTTTGGCGAAGCAAAGGTTGCCTACATGATGCTGACTACATCACAAATTGAGTGCCGATTGGTCTATAAAAATACAGGTTTAGGGCCATATGCTCAATATACCAATCGCATGAAAAAAAAAAAAAAACTATTGCTTACTAACATCAGCAATATATGTCATTTAGAATCGGTGTAATAAAAGGCACAATTCTGACAGCAAGCATCTTCCCCATAGCAACATATGGAGGTGAGTCATAGACTATCTCACAGTCATTAACCCTCTGAGGATTAATCGCCAGTTAACTGGCTTTTGAATTTATCCCGATCAGACCAGTATACGGGCGAATCATAGAGGCACTCTAATTTTGTTCCGTTTGTGAGAAAAAAACAAATTTTTATTAAAATGTTTTGAAAAAAATTAGATTAGCAAAAAGAAGTCCTTTCATTTGTGATGTTCTGCGTGGCTTTTGCATCACTTTCTGATAAAAAAAAAATTATTTAGATGTGATACAATTTTTACATGATTTTTCTATACCAAGTGATAAGGGAAAAGGTCTAGAACTGTTCATACTGCTCTCTGCCAGATAGTGACAATAGTCTTGATATTATGACTGATATCCAAGTGACTAACCTATTGGCAATAATTTATTTTAGGATATGAAGATTGAACAGAATATTTCAACTAGATCATCTGTTTTGATCAGCTGTTTTCCCAATTTTTGGTTGTTGTGAAATCTGACATGTCATACACAAATGATCATAACATCCAAAGTATTTAAATTAAATGTTTAAAAGAAAAAAAAAAAAAGACTAGCTGATACATAAGTGAACAGAAAAGGCATGTGAATTCTTAGAATTGGATAGCAGGGTTGCTGAACAAGTAAAAGAAAAGTAAGGTAAGCACAAAATTTCTTTGCAAAATTTGTTATGTAAAGAATCTTCATATGTGTCTAGCATCCTTGACTGTTGTATGATTTTAATATTAGTTGTAATACTGACACTTAAATAGTTTAGATTTACTCTGCACTCATTTATCTTTAATTTGATATATTATATGTCCCGATACAACCAATACTTTTTCTCCAGAAAGGTTTTAGCTTTGTCATGTAACAAAGTTCTGCTCAAAATTAATGCTGCCCAAACCCTAGAAAAAAATTTGGTCCTGAAATAGTTAAGCAACAAAATAGAGGCCTTTGAGCTGAAATGCTACAGCAAGATTCTCAGAATACCATGGACAAAGAAGAAAAGAAATACCGACTTTCTGAATGATCTGAACATCAGGGTTAGCTAGTGAAAAACATCCAGTCTTGGAAACTGAAATATTTTGCCCATAACAAGTGCCACAGCGAACCGGAAAAAAATAATAACGGAAGACATGCTACCAGCAAAGAGGGGCAGGGGCCGACCAGTACAAAGATGGACACATATGTGACCCCTTGGGTATTAAAGTTCATGAAACAGGAGAGCTTTCTTTCAGGCAGACCCTGATGAGAGCAATATTTTGTAAATGGCCTACTATACGATGATCATGAGAATTGGTGTTGCCTTCACTTTTCAACACACTCTACAAATGTTTGCTGGTAAACAAATTATTTGCCTACAAATTGTTGGCTGTTTGTGGCTTTACTAGACAATTTTATGTTCAGTAATTTACCATTTCTTTTAAATAGTCAATGCTGATACCTTTGCTGAAATCTACTTCCAAATGGCCTGCAGCTGAATAGAACCTGGCATGTTGAAATTATGAAAGTGCATTCATAAACTCTAAGCCAGAGATGCCCATATACAAGATAACAGGAAATAAGAAATGTAAATATGTGTGTGATGCAAGAGAATGAAGTATACAGGTATGATGTAACAAAAAAGAGATAAGAAAAGTATACCTGTAATATAATAAAGCATATGATGTAACAGTAATACAAATATATATGTAACAGAATGAAGTATATAATGTTTAAAAAAAAAAGGTAAATAATGTATGCTGTAACTACATTTTTTGGTCATGTGATGAGCAGGAGAAAACTGGAGTAAATCTTGACATCAGGACAGTTGGAGGGGAGGAAAGGCAGAGCTAGACCGAGAGAAAAGGTGCTGGACAGTCTGACATCAGGGCATGGAGGATTCTCTGCATCAGAGTTGAATGAAAGAACACAAGACAGAAGGTTGTGGACTGACATGATTACCAACAGCCCATGTCATGGACTTTAAGAAGAAATAACTATGAAATGTTTAAGTGTACTGCTTGGTACAGAACAAGCACAAGAAATTATACCACTGGCTGAAAACACACACACACGATAAATTACCATTGGTCTCAAGCTAGAGATCTGAATGTAGTCATCCTCATACTCCACATGTTCAGACTCTGATGGATTCAAGAGTGACTTGTGCACTTTATTACTTGCTTGTTTAGTGCTCTTAACACGGATACTTCCAGTAGGCAGCAGACGCTGCATAACACGCCAGTAACATCGGTACCGTAGAACCTCACTTATGAACTGAATGCTGAACATTACAAAGTTCCCAAATGTTAAGAACAGCATGGCTTCTATTCGGTGCCTGCTCCTTGATTTAGCTGTTACTTCATATCACATCTAGGGGAAAAAAGAATTGTATTTTGTGACTGTTAATAACAAGGCTCAGGTAAGAGGCAGATTCTGGACATATTTCATTTCATTGTTGTTCATTTTTGTGTCACATGACTGCAGATACTTTAATGTCTTATGTATCTTAAAGTTACTGTGTTCTATTGGCTGTTTGCAAATGAAGGCTTGTTCCAAAATGATGTACATTTTTAAAAACTAATTTTCATAAAGCTTACCTAGACTTTATGTTTTCCAACAGTTTTAAGTATGACTTCTAACTTTAATAAGCAGAAGACTAATGAATAATTTTGTAACAATATCAAGGTGATAACATATGAAATAAAGAAAAATCAGTACAATATAAATATTAATAACAGCTGATTGAACAGCAAAGTATATTAGTTTTTTTTTTTCAGCAATGCAAGGAAAGAAGACATCTTTCTTTTTTTCCCTCCAGGCTGCTAAATACACTTGGATCACAAAATCCTAATCTACAGGGAAAGCCAACTGAGCAAATCCTTGATACCCTGTTCAACCTTATAATAAATTACAATTTATTAATTAGCATGCCTGTTTTGGCCACTCCTACCTCGTGTAACATGCAGTACTATGTGGGCGAAGGCAACTTTTGGAAGATAAAGGTGACTACCCAAAGCTGGGCTAATATCAAGTATAAATTAATACAAACTATGACTTTAAAAGGTCAGTGAGGAGAAAGGGGAAAAGATCTACACATAGATGCAGTTATAACAGTACAACACAGCTTACGGGCTAGTCTGGGAAGGCAGGGGTGGAAGTGATAAATTATAAATTAGTCAACAATTCTCTCTGTGGTCCCTTACTGTCAGTTGTCCCTGTTGGCCAGCGTATCTATTAACCCATTCACACTCCCCTTTTTTTTACCTAATCAAACATCTATAACCGATTTCCAAGTATGCATCTTTTCCTGGATGTGACATTCATTTTCATGTTCAACCATTAAGTTATACTAGGGCCCCTGATGACAGCCAGAGGGGCTTTAAAATAAAAACAAAAACAATTGCGTATCATGTCGGGGTGCATTATTGAAAAATCAGGTTCTCCTTGCAATAATGGTCGCTACATGGACGGCGACGGCCGCTTAGTCGGAGTTCAGTCCCCTGGCTGCAGTGCAAGTACAGAGTGGACAAGGCACGAATCACAAAACAAAGTGAGTTCATCATTATGGGTAAGTACTTGACGTTACATGTGTTACCCTAACATTAACCCAAACCCTTCCCCTAACCCTAATTATGTCATTTGTTTCGTTCCCTCTTTTTCACTCCGTAATTGCACTGCAGCCAGAAGACTGAACTCCGAAGAAGCGGCCGTCGCCGTCCAACTAGCGACCGTTATTGCAAGGAGAGCCAAAAATCATCATCTAGCAAATATCACGTTATTCGGAGGATAGCCAATTTCTTTAAACATGACTCTGTCTCCTCCTTGCACCTGGAGTTGTTCTATTTCATTGCAGGTATTGATAATAAAAAAAGTGTTCATCTCCTCTGATTTCTTTTGTGTAGTTCATGTATGAATGGCTATTTGTTTTTGACCCTGTTTGTTTTAAATTTCAGCTATCTTCCGAATAACGGTCCCAAATTATCGAGGCCGAAAATATACCTTAACAGGGCCTCAGTCATATGTCGATTGCGGACTTTCGGTGACTTAAATTGCGCACTTCTGGCGACTACTGCCACCGCCGAGAAATTCTCCTACGCCGCTACGCGCAGCATGGAAGGGGCCGAACTAGATGGCTTGGACTCATGAGCAGCAGCTACCGCATCTCCTACAGCTTCCTTCATTTTATTTGCTCGGCGGTGGCGGTATAGTCCCCAGAAGTCCGCAATTTAAGTCACCGGAAGTCCGCAATTGACACGTGACTCTGTCAGGGTATATTTTCGGCCTCGATAATTTGGGACCGTTATTCGGAAGAGAAGATAGCCTAAATTTCTTTGTTCCTCTTCCATCAGCTTAAATGTTTTTTTGGCTATCTTCCGAATAGCGGTAATAAATTATCAAGGCAGAAAATATACCCTAACAGGGCCTCAGTCACGTGTCACTCGATAATTTGGGACCGTTATTCGGAAGACAGCCGTTTTTTTTTTCTGTAATGTAAATCAAAATCTGTTTCATTTTAAAGCTGCTGAGATTATGTTTCTCTCTTCATTACTCGTCAGGTGTCACCTTCTCCTGCACTGCCAAGACTGCCTCAAATTTGTTTTTAACCCCAATGCTGTAACCACTTGGTATATCTAATTATTACTTACATTACTTTAAAAAAAAAACGTTTGGCTTTTTGCTCCCCTTCACTTACACTTCAACACTATTTTTTTTTAAAATTTCATTTTAAACTCTACAAGTTTATAATTTATGATCAGTTAAGAGTTTATTTAAAAAAAAAAGATTTTTGCTATTAAACCCACAACAACGATAACAGCACGGTTATAAAGTATTCGTACAAAATCAAATAAATACTTTCTGTTTACGAAGTTCCAGGATTGAATTTTCCGTGTCTTGTAGTTTTCATCGAGAGTTATTGTTCTTTGATTTAAAGAGTTACTGTTCGTGTATGGAATTTTCTGGTACATCATCATCATGTGGCAAGACTTATACAGAACGTCGCTCCCATCATACAGGACGCCTGAAAAAAAAAAAACTCGAAACCCTCGCCAGCTCTCCTGCTCATATTGGAGACCTGGTCACTCATTGGCTCGCAGGTAGACGACTTCGTCGTCGGTCGAGACAGTATCTACGTCTGCTTCTGATCGCATCAACACTGCAGGTGTCCTTTTCAGGGCTGTTGGCATGCGATGTAAAGCCATTTTACATGGCGCACATAATTTAGTCACATTATAACCTAAAGCTCCCCCTTCGGTGATACTTGTTGGACGTGACGATTTTTTTTTAGCAAAGCAACGGAACAGCTCGCCTGTCTCGTGCACTCATATTCGTATTGGTCGGCCTCTACCCTGCTTACTTTCTACTGTTCTGGTACAGCTCTTTGTATATCAGCAAGGCTGTTTTTAATTCTTAGGACTTCCAAAATGTGTATCAAGATGTCTTGAAAGAGGGTTGGGTCTGAACACAACTTATCTCACACATAAGCTATCATTGCTTGATCTTGTTACGCGAAGAAAGAAACTTGAAACTCTTGTGACAACTAGGAGAGAATTATGGAAAAAGAGACATGGAAAGACAACCGGAGAAACTTTAGTCAAGACAAGGAATGGTTTCAGCACAAGAACGTATACATGTTGTTGGAAGTGGATAGTGGGTGAGAGTCGTGGTCGCCACGTCAGTCGACAAGTCACGTGATGATGATGATGATCTACGAAAGAAAGCGTCCACTGTCAGTCAATCATACAGGCATTTAAACCCACTCACATTGAAATAATTTTCCAGGCGGAATCATTGAAGAGGGACATTGCCCTGTTCAGACTGCAGAAGAGGAGATCGATGTGACCGTCCGAACTTTCAAGGTCGGGCTGTTGACCTGTCGTTTGAAGATGTCATTGGAACTAAAATAAGTGTGTGCGTGCGGTAGTTTGTGTTAGCGTGTTTAGTTGAGTCTTCACCAAGTCCTATTATTTGCACATTTTCTCATTTGAATCAAGTATGTCTCAACAAGTACACAAATTACATATGCCCTTGCTTCATCGTTAACTGGCGTTTGGAAGCATTGACGTTCATACTGTTCTGCCACATTTGGCTGGTGCCATTGTAATCCAGGTTAAGATGTATTCGTTTGTACTTGAGTACACATCTCAATGGGAACTTACGCCTCTCAGCACCGGAACGCACATCACACAGGTGTTTATAGCTTGTGTGATGTATTGGTACAACTACCTACATACCTACCTATGCGGGTGATCCTGAGAGGTACGAGACACCCCGAATATTTGCATGCGATACATCCTTGCATTGCCGACTATTGCAGTTAGGCTAAAGGTGCTGCTGGCTAAGTCATACCTCAGAGTAGCAGACAAAGAACACTTTCTGTATGAAGCTTTGGCTGCAGGAAAGGGTCAGAGGCTTAAATAGGAAAAATCGTGGATGGCTCAAGCAGAAGACACAACAAGACAAGTATTCATGCTGGAGAACATTGGGCTAGGATAGGGGTGGGTCAACATACCAGAGGAAAAGCCTGATCTGTGTAGAGTTGTGATTACATTTGGCCGAAAGTTCAGAGTGGCCAGCGGGTGCTACGGAAGTGGAAGTCCAACAGCTGATTTACGACAATTCTTACCCAGACGATCTGATTAAATACGGATGGTTCTGTAATGACAGGGAAGAGAAATGTTTGGGGGTTCGTAGCGAAAGTCACTAGAAAATCTTTAGTGCAGGACAGCCTAGAATACGATACCACAACATCTAGTATGAGAATGGAGGTGAAGGCGGTACCTGTAGATTTTTGGTGGCTAGAGAACAAGATGCATACACATGTTGTAATTGTAACAGGATCGGAAAGCATGCGGAGAAAGGTGAAGACCGGGATGCTTCGAGCAGAGAGCAAGCTTTACTATTAAGGTCACGAGTAGTGAGCATTCTTTAGGTCTTTTGTCTAGGCTATGGAGGCGTAGTGGGGAATAAACAGGCAGACAGATTAGTTGTATCTTAACCATTGGTTGGTGAATTGATACATGACAAGGCAAATGTGGTCAGGGCTCTGGGGAAAAGCAACAAAGTCAGAAGCGAAACAAGATTATCATGACCTGGAGAGAATGAAGCACCTAGGTGTAACCAGAGGGTCTGGCCGGTTCACTACACCCAGAGGAAAGGCAAGACGGACTTATAACCAGATTACGACCGGTACCATTAGTACTGTAACTCTGCGCTGGCTGCTGAAGATGAGAACGGAGCACGCATGGGAATGTCCCGAGTGATGTCAACTCTTACTCAACGCAACCTTTTCTTTTTCCAGACGATGGTGTAACATTGTG